CATGAAAATAATTAAGTATAAAAATAGCTACCAAAACAGTTAATGAGACTAAAGGCCTGAAAAATGTTCATTAACTCTTTCTGTAATTTACATATTGCGTTAAAAACTATCGATAAAACCATCAAACACAATTTATTGTATATTAGATTATTATAAGTAATTTCTTTTATATTCTTATTCAATTATTTTCTTCTCATTTCTTTTTTCTTTTTTTTTTTTAATATCTTTAATACAATGCTATCAGTTTTTTAAAACTTCCTGTGTACCCTGCTTTCAAAGACCGATAAATATTGCCAGCGATTAATTCCAAACAAGGGGAAACGTTTTTTACGAAAATAGGTCGACAGTCGAACACTGCGCTTCAGAAATATTCATACATTCAAATATTTGCGATCATCTGTGCAAATGACTGGCTCGTAGCTAAAATACAGCGATTATAAAGAATATTAAAATTCAACGATTTCAGTGCATTTAAATGGACGACTCTCAGCGTGAAAATTATTTTTCAGTTTGGAGAGCCTGCATCGCACGAGGGGGGAAAAAAAAATTTGACAAATTTCTTGTTAAACTGTCAGAAAATTAATTACGGCCGTTGGCAACGTGCTGGCAAAATCCACGGTATTTTTGCGTAAAATAAAGTTGTATTTTATCGAAACAAACAGTAGAAAAATTTATATAAATTTTTCAACAAGAAAGAAAGCTGTTTCATGCTATTATTTTAAAATTCGATAAACTCCGAAATTGATATGTTTTGTAAAAGTAATTGTTGTGTTTTGCGATAGATGATAATTATAACTCCGTAAATTCTCCATTTCACAGTTGTATGAATTGAGTTGAACCTTTATTATTCGAACGGCCCTCTTGTCGATATCGTTAATATACGATTTTTCAAAAAGATAATCACAAGTTTATCCATAAGTATAGACAGTTATCACATAACATATAAAATTTATTCCACGATTCGAATATTATTATAATTATTACATGATTATTGACGTTTAGATCGTCCAATTTTAATAAACGATAAAATCCACGAATCCTTATATATCTATCAGTATAATTGAATCAAACTTCAATCACATTCTCCCATCGTTAATAACTTTGGTAACGAAGTTCTTTTGTCTAATTTTAATAAACGATAAAATCCACGAATCCTTATATATCTATCAGTATAATTGAATCGAACTTCAATCACATTCTCCCATCGTTAATAACTTTGGTAACGAAATTCTTTTGTCCAATTTTAATATTTCTAATTCGAGAAGAGAGGGATCTCGAATTTAATTTCGCCGATCTCGTTCAACTTCTTCTTTAAAACTTTTGTCTGCTTTTGTCCAAAGCAAATTTTAGACGCACGTTAGATGTAAATTATTATTTTCGAGTAATCCAGTTGCGCCATTCTCGTCGGCTTCTTCGACAGAATTTCCCTCGAAGCTTTCTTTCTTGGCGCGAGCCAAGAAGCCGTATAACTTCCTGTTGCAGGAAGTAAACGCGACGCGATCTCAATGTGGGTTAAAACACCGGTGTCCCTTATCTACGATCCGATTTTTCGCATAAAAAGTTCGCTGGTCTTCCGGCAGAGAATTTTCTGCATGCCCTGATAATTTCCAGAGAGAATCGGAAATGCAAAGACGTTGGTTCGTGAAACGCCTATTGATTCTGGGTCACTGTATGTACGAGAAATGGGTGTACATGCATACATGCCTTGGCAAAGGTCACAAAGAGAAATGAGAGCTGCGAAATTTTTAAAAGAAAAGTCTGTCGCATTATCTTTTTGTTCCGATATAGTAGAATAGTGGTAACCTACATGCAATTTCGAATGTAACAGGGGACTTTTACATTAGAAACACAATAATCGTGAGACCAATTGCTCGGTTTTGGAATTTTTAATTAAAAAGCTGTTCAACTTTTGTCATCAACTCTGATCTTTGATTATTTTACATTTATTTTTTTGTAGCTACGTTGAGTTTCAATTTATTTAACTATTTAATTTTCTTATTAGTCACGAAGGATGTAAAATATCAAGTAAAATCAGAACTTTACTACATAAATGACTACAGTCATCTAATATGATCTAATATCAGTTGAAAGTTAAGCGAATGTCGAAATTAGAATTTCTAATTATTCGAATTCCGAATAAAATGATATTCTGCGAGCATGAAATTTAATTTTCTCTCTTGTTTCACAAGGAGAAGAGAAAAAGTCATACTACGTAATAATCATACTTTGTAAAAAGTCATACTACGATACTTGAGATTATTGTGGAAATAAATACATAGATATGAAATTTTTCATTAATTTCTTTCTAACTGAACGCTAAGTGAACAAATTGAAAGACATGGGGATATGAAAATTTACAATAATATGAGTTTTCTTTTTTTTTTTTTGTCATTCAATAACTATAAAAGTTAAACGTGTGATTATTTACGGCTAAGACCCTCAAATCTCATGTTTCGTAAGGCAACACCACGAAAGGAGAGACGTGTATCTGCATATCGTGTATCGAGGTTATCTACAATAGAATGCTGATCAACTTGTGCGTTTATAGTGATTGTTTCAGCGTCATTCAGGGTTTCTTACTTTATAAAGGAAAGATGTTAATTGCCAGTCTCTAGAATTGAATGATTACTAGGATCAATGATATTTCTTTTCTCACTTGATCGTATTAGCAAGCAAATATAAGCAAAAAATACTCGTGCATCGAATGTTCTTAATAATGTCTTAATAATTTTCTAATTTTGCATAACTTTATTATATTCTACCAATGGCAAAATTTCTTTCATTCAACGAACGTTTAAACTCCGCGATTATCTGTAACACGTAATATACCTACCTACGCAGTAGTGTACTCACGCTCACGTTACAATAGAAGAGCAATAATAAAATTTATAGCGCGACATTCGAAGAGCTATTAATCGTTAAAATACATAATAATACGTAAAGGATATTGATTATCGAACGCTGTCACGTACAATGGGCTAATGGTCATAATTTATGCGTTAATTCCATTTGTCATTATGATACATGCGTACCCATGCACGCGTCGAGCATTTCATTAGCGGCAGCGTACGTTTCAGTTTGATATTAATCAAGGAAGAATGATATCGTTGGCTTTAATGCTCCATTTGGCCGGTATCGTGCGTGGCAACAACGAAAACTTTCGACGCGGGGAAATACATGTTCTGTCGCAGTCGTTAACACGTCCGAGCCATTAACCACGATGATTGTCATCTGTTGTTCGGATTTCCAAGAATATGATTTCGAATCGTTGTTGCACGGTATTCACTTTCCGAGCATTATCGAAAATTGGACAATGCTCGTATTTATCAGAGATGCGTGACTCACACATCCTGTAAAAAAAGAAAAATGGTAAATTCAGTAATATTTTAGAAAGGAGCAGTAACTTTAAGATACTCGAGACAGCGATGGCGAGTTAAATTCATTAAGTTGAATTAGTAGAAAAGAGAAGGTAACAGTAATTATGAAATAAAATTATTACGCTTTTCGATGAATTTAAAAATTAAAACTACCGGCAAAGTATAGAAGTTGTGTCAAGGGAATGTTTGTTCATATATTTTATAAAAATATCATTCAAATTTCTAAAAATCACAACATCGTAAATCTGTGAAACTATTTTTAAAAGAATTGTAAATTATTCATTTCGATTGAATTTTTGGCACGCGATGTTCAAAATTCAATAAAATGGCAAGGAAAAATCATACATCAAGTTTTAAGGCGCCATTGCAGAGAGGATGCTTCAGTTTTCAAGTTTATTGCAGATTCGATCATGAACGAAATTTTTCAATACTTAAGGACAAGATAATAAGACATTTGTATATTTTTAAATTTCCTATACGTAGAAAGGAAGAAACTGTGCACTTTGTACCATTTTCGGAGTAAGCACGCAAAATCTTTGGTTCTTATAATATACGAAGAAAGAAACGTAAGTACGAGCTGACGAAAATACATATGAGACACTTATTTTCCATTTATGCGACTCGGATCCGTAAGCGTTCGACTGCGAATGAATACAAAAGTGAAAATTCGTCATTTCTCTACGGCATTAGACTCACTTGTCAAATCGAAAAGTAAAATTTCCATCCAGAGACATTGGGACAGAGATAGGAAAGCTTTGCAACACAACAAAGTACAGAAACTTTTATTTACACATTTCACAGAAAGTCATTTAAATCTCCAAGAATGTAAAAATAAATCTCTGTTTCACGTTTTATGAAATTTCGAATGAAAATTATAAATTGATTCGTTTTATCGAATCGCTTTGATAATTCTAATGTCACAACAAGCCCGGGTTTATTATTTTACGAAATTGCAACAATTTAAATATTTAGTATATTTATAGCAGTGTATGTACTAAATTAATATATTTATATTTAAATATATTTATTAATACATTTAACATATTATATTAGTATATATACTAAAAATAATATATTTATATTTAAATATATTTATAGTAGTATATATATATATATATCAATATTAATAATATTATTAATTAATATATTAATTTATTATATATTTATTGTAGTATATATGTATCAATATTAATAATATTATTAATTAATATATTAATTTATTATATATTTATATTTAAATATATTTATAGTAGTATATATGTATCAATATTAATAATATTATTAATTAATATATTAATTTATTATATATTTATAGTAGTATATATGTATCAATATTAATAATATTTATTAATTAATATATTAATTTATTATATATAATATTTATTAATTAATGTAATAATTAATATATTAATATATTAATTTACTATGTCCGAATGTCAACTGTAATCTTCTCTTTAAAACCTTACTCTGTAAAATATTGTACATAACGTAACGCGAAACGGCAAAGAAATTATAACGATTAAGAACAACTGTGAACGGGAGAATCGAGAGTCGTTAGACTGAAAATAAATGAACGATATCGAGAAACGACGTAAGCATAATAACGAACGTTCTCTGTTGTAGAATCACCGAGGCGTTATGTGGAGGGTGAGGTGACGATTCACTATCGTTCACCAGTGCGTACAGAGGCGAAAGAACCATTGAGCGAGGAAGAGCTCGCTCGTCGAAGCGCGGAGAATATGCGACGGGTTTACGAAGAAGAACGTCGTCGCAAATATCTCCAGGAGTTACACGATATCAATTCACGGCGACATACCGACAACTTTATGTAAGTCTTGTCATACCGATCTTTCTCTCTTTTTTTCTTTTTTTCCTTTTAATTTATGGCATACTTAAGTGCCCTCGCTGAGCCCACCTCGAAGATTCGAGCGTTCTGTTCACAGAGCGTTAGTATCTTTGGGGATGAAGGAGAAAATCTGTGCGTTTCTTTTCGTGCTTTCTGATACTGATTTGCAGTCAAATTTTCTATTGGTATATTTAGTAAAAGTGATAATTTGATGTGATATCAATGCCAACTAATTTTTTAAATTAATATCAGTGTAACTTGAACTTTTCTAAATATAATACCAGTGAAAATTAAGATAACATAAAAAATGTAGTATAAATATTTCTATTAATTAATGCGATTTATACATAGTATAAAGTATATTGTCAGTTGCGTGTGAAGAACTTTTATTTTTTAATTCTTTTCTTTACCATTTGTGTAATATTACTCAATTTTATAATACTATAAATATTAATATTATTAATATTACCCAATTTTATAATATTATTAATATTACTCAATTTTATAATATTATACACTACAATATTACAATATTACTTCAACACCGTGTTTCTAATTTAAATTTTTATTTCTTTCTTTTATTCGTACAACACACGCGAAAAAGAGATAAAATAAAGATATTAACGTATTTGCTACGTTTATTAAAATTTTTAATATTTAATTAATATTTAATATTAATTATTTGATATTTAATATTTATTTATTAATTAATATTTCTAATATTATTAATATTTTAAATATTTAGTCCAGTCATATCGAAGATGTATAATTTCTGATGAAAAGGTTCCGATCAAGCATTCAAAATATTCAGAAATGTTTAAAATCGTTCGAAATCTTTGTGCATTCTAAACTAGAATTAGTGACTTTGATTGGATTCTCATACTACCACTCTTTCTCTAAATACAAGTTCAAGCACTGCTCGAGAACTTCAATATTTTTATATTGCAATAGTTTCAATACTCTCAACAATTTAATATCTTTCGTGGAATTTGGAGTGTGAAACTTGCATCCCATTAATTATCAATTAGAGAACAGTCGAAAATGAGAAGGAACGAAAGTGTTTCTTCTTTCGTCGGGCTTTTCTTTTCACGCATGAGTCACCCACGCTTTTATTAACAACGCCCGCGTAAAATAACTTGGAGTACGTGATGCATTACGTAATAACTTAAGTAACGGAAAGCATGATAGACTTACACCTCGTCTAACAACGCATGATTAACGTGTCGTTGACTTTTATCATTGCGCGAGATGCCGATCCCTACGTCCGCAATAATTTCATTCATTTGGACGTACGATAAATGGTTTGCGTATTAAATAAAATATTTCAATCATCTTGCTTTTATATCTTGTAAATTAAAGTTTCACGTACGTAATTGTATGTGTACAGTGTGAGCCAAATTCAACGTATTTATTTATTTCTTAACATGGCGCTCAAGAACTTAATCTGTTGTCCATTATAAAATTATTTCACTCGCTATAAAAGAGTTTTAAATGTGAAAATTACAAAAACATTCGACACAAGCGTTTTCTTTCGTAGCAGTTTATTATTAAATTGACATTTATTAACATATAATTAATATTTAATTGAATCAGTTCAATATTATTCAATCGAACATTAATTAAATTGATTATTTAAACATTTAAATAATCACTTAATCTGTATATATATATATATTAATCTATACCTATTGTTTAACAAATTTCATCAGATTAATATTTAAATTAATTAAATGTTACTTAATTGGACATTCATTTAAATCAAATTGATATTCAAATATTAAAAAGACGTTTAACAAGCATGTTGCTGAAAGAATTGTGAAAGAATATTTGATACCAGTAGATATGTACTTTGTACATCGACCTCTGTTGAAATTATGCGACTCTACGTTTAAATTATGTACCTGCGACTCCACGTGAGAAATTGGAATTAGAAATTCGTATAAATGTCTCGTTAAATTATAAATAGATGTTGTACGTGTAATGAATGGGGAATACGTAGATACAAAACTCACATTTATATTAAATGCCTGGAAATGAAATAGTAATCTGATTTCATTTTAATTTAAGCGAGGGATCGTTAAATGTTGTTTAATTAATCAGACAAACGTGTTACTCTAAGCAACATCGTTCTAAATTACCATTTAAATCCACGTTTTATTTACTTTTATTCGCTTTTAGAAGAAGTGAATGTTTGAAGGAGAAACACGATGGAAATGAAATTAATGAAGTCGATAAATTCGTTATAAATGAAATTTATGTTAATTATTCGCCATTTTTCATACTGTTTATTATCAGACGCTTGATTTATTGAACAGAGTAATTTATTGAACGTTTCGTTCCAGTGTTTTGACGTACTAAACCCAAGTTTCTTTTTTTTATATTTTATCAAGTAAATGGTGAACTTAGAACAAACTATAGATCAGCAGTGCAAAGTTTATAATGTTTAAAATTTTGTTAAGAAATCGAAAATTTCATTATTTGAACGAGTTTCTCAAAATTTTATCAACTAAACGGTGAGGAACTTAGAAAATGATCAAAAATCTGCGAAGAATAAATTTACAACTTAATTTAATTGCAAATGATAAATTTTGTTGTTGCCTTGAGATTTTATCAAGAAATAAGTAAAATTTAATAGATTGTAGTTTAATAATGCATGTTCTGTGACTTCTGTGAAATGAAAAGAATTCTAATTTATTTTTATTTCATATAATTTCTGTTTTTTTTTTTTTTTATTTTGTAGATTCTAACAAGTTTTCTTCTATCAACAGCATGTATTTGCTCTACTATATGACCTTACTTCCTTATCTTCAGAACAATGCGTAATTCTTATACAATATTTATAAGAGATGACTGTGCATCGGTGCAAAGTGCAATTATACCAATCGTTCAGCAAAACAAATAAGTAATATCTAACAAAGAAGATTTCGTGTAACAATTCTTCGTACCACTTAATCGTAAATTTATGAAAGATAAATAAAAAATATAATAGTAATTTATAAATTTAAAAAGAAAACAGCTTATCAATTGAAAATAAAGCACTGCTGCCAAAAAAAAAAAAAAAATGAAAAATAAATGAAGATAAAACAATTTGAAGCAGGAATATTATAATTATAAAATATATAAACGTATTTCTAATTGTAAAATATATAAATGTATTTTTAATTTAACATATCGAATTAATTAACTTTATACAAAGTACATCCAGATAATATTTTTCCTTTTCTCTAAAAGTATTTAAATACGATGGTTCACTTGCTACAATTTACGAATTGACATTAATCCTCTTGACATTAATAAACTTCCTAGTCTTCAATTTTATTTAATTAAATAAACAATTTTATTTAATTTTATTTTCTTTAAATACGTTTAAGCTAAAATAATGATGCGATTTATAGGTATCTGTTCAGTATTATTTTTACTTTAAGTTTTCTAATAAAATTTATTTAAACGACAAAAGTCTTCTCTTGACAAACTTTTACAAAACTAAACGAAAGTTACAAATTAGCTGCCACCTCTCTTTATCCTGTGCAGATTTGTTGCTCAATTTTACTCTTCAGAGATTCACGCTATTATGTGACGAGGCTTATCTTCCTTTTTTTTTTTTTTGTAATAAATAATTTCAGACCGTCGCAGAAATCACCGATTCCCTTGAACCGTTACGACGACTTCGTGGACGATCTGAGCCACAGAAGCAGATCCCAGGAGCAAACACCGGAACCTCGGCTCGTGGCAAGGGCACTTTACAACTTTATCGGGCAATCTTCGCGAGAATTGAATTTCCGTCGCGGTGACATAATATTCGTGCGTCGTCAGGTAGACAAGAACTGGTACGAGGGCGAGCATAATGCTATGATTGGCCTGTTCCCATCGAATTACGTTGAGGTAATGTTGCTTGGAAAAGCGTTGGCGTTCTCGTTACTTTCTTCGTTGCAATTCAGTATGCGTCAACAAGCTTTGAAATTACTTATCCTTACGGAATTACTTTTTTTTTTTTGCTAATGAAACACTGGTTTGCACTTAGAAATCGTCGATTTTTTCTTACAGTGAAATCGTAATTTATTGGAAATCTTGTAAAAAAAAAGAAAAATTGAATGTCTTTAGGGATGGCTTGAAAATTAGTAACAATATTTTATTTATTTCTTTGCAAACGTTTCTTATTTACATTATTAAATGAGTAAAGCGAAATAGAGGTGAATTAAACGTTTAATTTAGATGTAATTTAAACTGAATCTAGGAATCTAATTCGAGTCAAATTGAATTTGAATAATCTCAATAATATGAACTATTTATTATTTTGATTTTTGCAATTTCTTTCTTTCTATTTACTGAACTGTAGGAGTGTATTTCGTATGTCTAAACTATCTTAATGAATATTATTTAAGTAATTAAAAAGAATAATATTATTTTTTTTGTTTACAGATTTTGCCTTACGATGGTATGCGAACTACACCAAAGAAACCTTACGAGGGTCAGGCACGAGCTAAGTTCAACTTCGTCGCTCAGACGAATCTCGAGTTATCTCTAGCCAAAGGTAAATATAAAAATACATATACATATATTTTTAAACTGAAATTACGTACATATTTAGTTTATAAATTTATTTTATAAATTACAGTCTACGTTCATTAAATTTCTGTCAGATAAATCAAATAATTATTACATTTTGGAAAATTATTAGTGTCAACTTAGAGATGTATTAGTGTATATTAGAAAAACATTTTCATCAGAAGAGCACTGTTCATGAATGAGAACCTTGTTCTTTTAGGAGAACTTGTGGTCTTGACAAGAAGAGTCGACGAAAACTGGTACGAGGGTCGTATTGGAAACAGAAAGGGAATATTTCCCATCTCTTATGTCGAAGTTATCACAGAGCCTGGCCTTAGATCAGGTATCACTCACTTTCTGCTGTTGATAATATATTTCGATAAATTTAAAGCAATAATTGTTTTTTTTTTTTTTTAAGCTACATCGTTTTACTGTTTTATTCCTCGTTTTAATTTCCGGCAGAAATACACGTGGATTTTATTAATTGTAGAAACGCCAACGCAAAACAAACCAGTCGCCTCTCCAGCGGCGCACAGCCTCCTGGCAAATGGATCAGCCGGAGGGAAAATGAGTATGGGACCCCATCACTACATGCCGTCCATACCAGTTAACATTAACACAACCCAGCCACACTACAATTCACTGGTGAGCAGCTAAAGACATTCGTTAATTGCACGAAAAAGATTGGCGTGTAGGAGAAAAGTATAAATTCCTTTATAAATATAAATTTAAATATAAATACAAATTTTTTTTGTATATAAATATTGTTTCTAACAATATAAATAAATAATATAATAATATATTTATTTATATATATAGTATTTTTTAAATATAAATATAAATTTTTTTATATACTTTTTATTAAACTTTTTAACATATAAATATTATTTATATTATTATATTATATATTATTTATATATTATTATATTTATTTATATATATAGTATTTTTTAAATATAAATTTTTTTATATACTTTTTATTAAACTTTTTAATGTATAAATATTATTTATAATATTTATTTATAATAATATAAATAAATATAATATATTTATTTATATATATAGTATTTTTTAAATGTAAATACAAATTTTTTTATATACTTTTTATTAAACTTTTTAATATATAAATATTATTTATAATAATATAAATAAATATAATAATATATTTATTTATAATATTTTTTTAAATATAAATATAAACTTTTCCAAAGTTTGATTTGCACATGATACGCTTAATATCATAGTTCTGGCAAGATATCTCGTCCACGTTAACGAAAGAGTTGAAAACGATCCGAAAAAAATATTCTGATATGCTTATCGAAGTCTCTGACTTAATACAGAATCGGTCTTTGAGTCAAACGTTTGAAAGAGTGAAATTGACAAAAATGAGAATTCACTTCGAAGAAACTCAAGAGCGAGATTCGTAATAGTCTAACGACGATTAATTTAACGCCCCGCGGGGGAGTAAACGTACATTGTAGAACTTGGAATTCTTAATTCCAAGTTTCCTAAAAAAAAAAAAAAAAAAAAAAAATGAAATGACCATAGTGACCTAGTTGGTCTCTTAGAAATGCGTGCGTCGCAAGAGAAAAACTGCTGATTCCGCAGCTGTCACTGACTAGTGCACAGGCGTTTGGGATAGATCAGTAACGGTGTGCGAGCGAGAGACCTGAATCTGCGAGTGAAAGAGGCTCGAATTTAAGAGTGTAATGGAAGTATAATGGAACGAAAATTACGTTTTACTTTGAGAGTGATGCCACGATATATCGTCACCATTATTGCATCGCAATACTGTATTTTATATTTTTTAACAGGGAGAATTGTTGCGTATCATTATTGAACATTGAAGTGATACAATAATGCATTATTTTGCTAATAATAGTGCAAACGTATGTAGAATCTCACTATTGATATGATAAACATATAACATTCAAGCAATAAGTGTCATAAGTTAAATCATAAATTAATTATCCATTAACGTAAAGCTATGATATTTTAAATAATATAGTAGTAGCTTGAGCAGCGTGTAAAATATGAGATTGTAAGGACAATGCTTATTATTCGCGTCGAGCTTCGAGAATTTTTAATTTTCTTCTACTCGAAATATGAAGCTGCCAGATTACATGGCGTCATCTGTGCAAAATGGCAAGCATGTTGGATTTAAATTACGCTACTTTGGCAAGCAAAAGTGGCAGTAGCTTGAAACGGACACTTTGTTTCATCTCTTTCGTTATTAAACCATTTAAGTCGCTCTGTGTTATATTAAAAATGATTAACTATTTGGACCAATTGATATTTTTGTTCGCGACTATTTTATTCAGTTCACTGACAAATACTAGCAATAGATTAATGAATTATCTCGAAAACACTTATTACTACTGAAAGTGAAGAAAATTCAATATAAAAAAATTGATATTCTTTAAATATTAGAATAATACTAATGAAGATTTATAAAATAACATTTGACGAGTATTTAATACAAAAATTTTAATATTTTTGCAAGTTAGTTTAATTTTTAAATTGGATCGTTGGATTACGAATTAAACGAACAATAATAATAATTCACTGATTATTAATGATATTTATAGAATATTAAATTTATTTTAAAAATCGAAATTTATTTTGTGACACTGCAAATAAATTTTTTTTAATTGATCATTCTTATCACATGCCCTTTCATTGTTTGATTTCCAGCCACGGATGGGAGGGAGCAAATTGCATATTTCGCAACTTAGCGAAACATTGCACATCGATACCCATTCTGAACCAATACCGTAAGTTCCTTTCAAAAATTCTAAATATATATTTAAATCTTGATACTCAAAAATTTATTCGTTTTAGCCAGAGAAAGAAAATTTTGTTTTCCAAGAGAAATATTCTCATTATTAATATTGAACATACACATACGTAGATTTATATATTCCACAGTTCAAGAAAATTCAATCTATCGAAATTTCACGATCTATTTAATATTTGCATTAACTGTTTGAACAAAATGAATGAAAAAGGTCCTGAGCTTGGTCCTGATGTTAGTAATATTGCATGAATTCTCGGATTTCTTTTCTTCACATTTGACAATAGAATTACAAAATTGCATCCGTCTTTTGTACCATCGTAGCCTCAATACCTCAAGCGTGTCGCATTGTTTACTTTTCTGTAGAATATATTTCAACTTATTGTTATCACTTTATCTCTCTATCTGTTTCGTACAAACTAATTTAATGCACGGTCACATTTTATTTGAACCTCTTGCGCTGGAATGACGTGCCACGCACGTTGAGAGCATTTTCTCCCGAAACTGCAACATTTTCTCAGTTTTTAAGTATATTTAACCTAACCCAGGCGAAACAAAAATAACAAATTGATTACTTCTCAGTAATTTCTATCCAGTGATGCCATACCATACGAGTTCAAATAGAAAGCGACACGAATTATTTTATACGGCCGCTCGTTAAGGTCCGCAATCAGTTGCCAGCGCAAGTGGTCGAACAATATAATACGTCAAACGTTTGTACATCTGTTTCGACGCAGTCCACTTGTCAGATTCGACTGCGATCGAACGGAGCCGATGAAAACATATACCCGAGCGTCTCGATTATCCTTTCAGGTACCGAGCTCTCTACAATTATAGACCACAGAACGAAGACGAGCTCGAACTGAAGGAAGGCGACACGGTGTACGTAATGGAGAAATGCGACGACGGTTGGTACGTCGGTTCCAGTCAGAGGACCGGTTACTTCGGCACCTTCCCCGGAAATTACGTGGAACGATTGTGAGAAACGACAACGAGCCGTATGAAACCGCAGGTTACGTTTTACCAAAGCATTAAGAAATCGAATCGTTAACGTAGATAAGTCAAGTCATTTTGTTTCCGCACGTCGACGATAAAGCTCAACGAGACTCGGTGTCACTCACACACACGTCTTCCTATTCGTGAATTTTCATTATTAAGAAGAAGAAACAAACGTACATATAAGAGGATTGAAGAAAAACAGAAACCGAAAGAAAAGAAGGAGAAACATGCGAACGTATATCGTACGAGTACGTATTGTTAAGCAAAGAAGTGGCAAAGCTCATCGAAACGAACTTTATCGTCGAGATACAACCAAAAATTTCACGAGAAATGAAACTTAAAACGTGTAAGGCTTCATAAAACGTGTACGTAGTGTATAGTAACGTATAGTAATTTATTGCACGACGTTGGCGTGCGTCAGGCGGACGTTGCGAGGACATCGGAGCAGAAAATGAACACGACGCGATTTTATTAATACGACACAGTGAACTCTCTCTTAATCGGGGCTCAGTATGGGACCAGCCTCTGAATGGATGAAAGAATAGCCAATTAAAAACTTCTTATCTCATGATTTTCCTTTCAATCTTCTCAGGCAGGCAATTAAATTCAATCTTCTCGCAGCGTGTCGAATGGCGAGTCGCAGTGTTGGTGTGTTCATCGGTCTTCGATTTGAGGGATTTAAACGTGAAACTCGAACTCGAATTTCACCGAGTTACAATTTGTCTTTTGAATTCTATTCAAATTGAGAGTGTAACTTGCATCGATGTAACAAGGCAGGAGATTAATCCGATAGTATAATTCGACGTTCGTATCGTTCGTGTTAGCTTCGTGTGTATGAAATTTTGTTCTTCAAACATAATCTCCCCCGTTCGCATAGTCCAAATTTTCAAACTCCTCTCGAATCCCAAAAGAATATAAATTTAGAATGTGTAAATTTCAAAATTTTGAAAGTACAAATTTATAAATTCGTAAAGTTAGATTTCGTAAATTTCAAAGTTTTGAAGTACAAATTTATACATTCGTAAAGTTAGATATGGAAGTATCTTTCGATTTGAACAAATGTCTGGACGAAGTGGAGGATGTGTTTAATTAATCTCCTACAAATTCACGTTTCGCATTTCAAGTTTATGTTTAAACATAAACTCACAGGAATGCTCTGATTATTGGCGGCAAAATTAAAAATGAGGTTTCGACGTTTTTCTTGCAAATCTTCTTTAATCTCTTGCCACGCACGTCGAGAACTTTTTGCCCCAAATTTGCAACACTTTCTCAGTTTTAAGTATATTTAAATGTAACCCAGGCAAATGATAAGTTTATTACTTTTTAATCATTTCGATCCAGTGACGTCATATCGACGAGTTGTTGTATACAGTCACTCGTTATGGTCCGCGAACCAGTTGCCAGCGCGATGGGTTAACGTGGTCGTTCACTTCGACGATTAACAATATGTAAATTCAGACATGAAGGAAACGATTTGATATACGTCAACCTAATAGACGAACAGATATTTCATAAGCAATAGGAAATGTTTGGAGACAAATATTTCCAACGACAGAAACGCACGAACAATATTTGTTCGATATAATTGGCGACGAGTTTCGTTTCGCGATGGTTCGTTTCTCGAAGTTCACATGTTGCATCGGCGAAATCGTAATCGGAGGCTGGTCACGAAACAGAGCGAGAAAAGGAGGAGTTCGTTGCATCTTTATCGAGATCCGCGAGATCATCGATGAACTCTGTTATTCGTGCAATCGGTGAATGTATAAATAACGTGCAACTTTTTACGATCGTTACGAAGTGTATGCTCGACAAGAGCGAAACGAGAGGAGGTTTTCCGTCGAGCCTATTTCCGTGTAATTGTAAAACAGCCCTATCGAGAGGACTACCTGGTTTCACCAGCAACGAACGAAGTTATTCGTGTTAACCGTTTAATCGATCAAGCGGCAATCCTCTCGCACGAGTTTCATCCGTTTGCGAACGAACTGATGCTCGCAAGGTGAAGATGTATATTGGAATACGAGAAAAAAAAACTAATCTTGTACAGGAGTATAATTGTTGTGTCAAGGTATCGATGTAAGAAAGAAAAGATACTTGTCGATTATTAATTAAGGGACTCCAAAGAGGGTAGCCGATAAAAGCGTAAGTCGCTTTTAAATTATTAAAAGCAACCTGCGCTGTGCAAATATAACCCATTTGTCGTCAAAATCTTCGGTCGACGAAAGATTATGATATAACCACTATAATTATATAAACCAGTTACCATTATAATACTGGCTTGCTCGTTAATTATATCAGAAGTTAACCAACCGTAAGTCGCTTGTCATTAGAAATAAATTTTGTCGTACAATTATCCTTTTATTGTCGAAATATAAACAGTCGATGAAAGAGTCTAATCGTTATGATGTAATCGTTACAGTGTTACGACTAAATTATTGACCGTCGAGCTTGACAATGGAGGTGTGTACGGCACGAGTCATTTTTAAGGGGAAGTGACTTACATTGATCGGCTTCTGAACTTTACGGCTCCAGTTAACACGTTGACAACCTGCTAAGGCTTGCTCTGTGAAGAAAATTTCTTTTCGTTTCTTGAATATTCCCGAAAATAACGAAAATCGACGAAGCAGTTTGCCTCGGAGTTTCTTGAATTTTTGTCGTTTAACCGAGAGGAAATCGCAGAGCAAGTTTTGGAGGGTCGTTGTAAGAGGGGAGGCTTCAGCCTTCGAATCCGTAGCGGATTCGATCATCGTGAGAAAAGAATTTTTCGAACGTTTCGAAAGACGTCTGAATTTTCGAGAAGAAAACAATCTTACTCTCCAACGTGAAACATTTTCATGAAAGATGAATTCAGGATTGCGAAGGTGCGAAGCTTCGACCTTTAAAGCGAGCCCCGAGATTCGAAATTGCAACAAATTAAGTGTCGCCATTTTTTTTTCTTTTTTTGGAAAATGTTGGAAGCTTAGCGTACGTAAGTTTGTGTATTGTACAATATCACGAATGAAAATGGGGAACTGTATAAAGTGAAATTCGAAGATATGTGTGTAAGACTAGGTACTGATTGCCGCTTGATCAGACACGTACCGAGAAGCGTTTGCTTCGATGCTTCGAGGTTGTGTCTCTACGACTAGAAAATGTGTGCGCAGGATTACTGGGTTACGAGTGCACGAGGTTAAAAAAGAAAGATTCTGTTGAACCCCCTTCTATACCTTCGGTTGTACGCCATTTTTCTGTGACACGTACACGAATCAAGACGATCAGCTCATGCGGTGAGCAAGGAATTTCGCTAACGATGGATTCTCTGGATCAACGTGAAATTTTTGTTGGAAATGGAACTTTTGCTGTGAAATTTCTTACTACAAGTACATATCGCTGCGAATGATTTGCAATTCACTACAAAGTTATATACTTTTATTATATATGTTATATATATATATATATATATATATACTTTTTGGTATATTATATATCAAAATTTCCACTATTTTGCTACTTCAAATATTATTTTATATATATTTATTTTAAATATATTAATTTCAAATAAATTTATTTTACATATTAATATTAAATATATTTATTTTAAATAAATTTATCATAATATATTTATTTTAAATATATTTTTAAATGTATTGCAAATACGTATCATTGCAAAATTTCCCAAGTTATCGAATCGTTTTATTCTATTCATAGTGACGAAAGTATGCTGCTTCGAAGAGGGATCTAAGTTATTATTTAAACACAACAATCGACTTGTACTAAATTACTGAAACGTCATTTGTCGCGTCATTTCAGATATGATACGAAGAAAATACTTATTTGTACCGCTATACCGCAAATTTACTTCCTTTCAACAATCTTCGCTACCACCAGGAGTAGATTTCACGTTGATCTATAGAAAAGTCCCGCAAGTGTCACCACGTCGTTAACGAAACTGCAAATTCCCTGTCCTCGCGGCTGTATTTTCAATGAGTAGAACGTTAAAACGAACCAAAGATACAACGTCTCGAGCGACTCGATCTCGACGATCGATGCGAACCGAACGGCAGGGTTCTGTCTTGTTTCGACGACGTGCTCGCGACGAGAGAAGCGTATGTAAATGAGTAACTTCGGTAATTTTGGGTGAAGATTGTCCCGGGATCGTGAAGATTTTTCAGTCAACGAAGAATCGATGAATTCGAAAGAAAAAAAAAAAAAAAAGAAAAGAAAAGAAAGAAGAAAACCGAGAGTTGATTTTCAATATTCGAGGAAGACGAATTTCCTTCCGAGTTGTGTTTGTAGATAAATCAGCCGTGTTATTGTTACATTCGTGAGTATTCAAGAGTAAGCGATTTATAATTGAAAGTTTGCCTTCCCAAATTAATATTTTTGTAAAACATTATTTGTACCCAGAGTATACATATATACATATAAATGAATTATATAATGTATAGAAGATATATCTATATACATACATACGTATACATAGTTACAATAATATTATATATATATATACATAAAGAATGTAATTGTATAAGTAAATTAACGGCATAATTAATCGCGCACGTGTTAAGATGCACACACGTAATGTTCGCAACAAAAGAAAGAAAGAAAAAAAAAAGGGAAAAAAAACGAAAGAAAACGAGAGAAAAAAAAGGAAAAAAAGCGTATGAGTCGTGTTAGTCGTTGTAATTAATTAATTAATCGTAATTAAAGAGGATTCTTCGCCGATGTCATCACACAAAGTACGAGACTCTACGATTTTTCGAGAACGTTTCGCCATGACGTTACACGAGAGCCTACCACCTAAGTCTAGAAATAAAGAAACAAAGAAAAGAAGAGGGGAGAAAATTAAAAATACAAAAAAAAAAAAAAGGAAAAAAAAGAAAGAAAGAGGGGAAAGCTAAGGTGGATAGAAAGTTGGAAAGAAAACAGACAATACTACTTATTACTATTGTAATACTTCGTAGAACGAGAAGAGATAACCGAGTAAGTACGTAGCGAGGGCATTAATCCAACCAGTTGCGACTAATGGATCGTTTCAGTTGATCGATCGATCATCCGTTCACGGGTCAGCCGATCGTTTTCTGATCGGTGTTTGGTGGAAATGTTACAAATTTTCCACGCCCTTTCGTTGCTAAATTATCTGGAGTGATCGATTGTTATTCCAAATCTTTCTACATTGCACGTTCGGTTATTTTCAGTTTGTGAGTTTGTTTATTAGTGTGTGAATTCGTCAGAGAGTCGGACCTTTTTAAATAATTTATTTCCAGATCACTCTGGAGTGAAATAATCCTGCAGTTCGTTCTACCATTTTAATTTTAGTATCGTTGCATGTCGACGTACTTTGGCATTATGTTTATTTATTTTTCTCTCGTCACATTCATATAATAGATATTATTGCAAAGGGTTTCATCTCCGTCGAATCTCATCTCTGTTTCTCGTTATTGAAAAATTCTCGCTTCAAAATCAAACATCCCGTGGATGATTTTCAGAATTATAGACAGGAATCGAGTTAATCTTCGAAATTTCACAGGGATGAAAAGAATTTTAATTTCCCCTACAGTATTTATTTTTCTCAGTCTATTTTACAATCTATATTTTATCTTTTCGTTAGGAATCAAGCTACTCTGCATACAAAATTGCGCACGAGACATGAAAATTTTACATTTCGTATTTTTTTTTTTTTTGTATTTGTTACATTCAAATCCCTTCTTCCCCGAAGGGAGATGACGTCGTTTCGAAAGTTTAACTGCTAATTTTATTGCTTCGAGTGCAATCATTTGATAGTCTATTTACTTTGTTAAATTTATATATTTGTGAATCATTTCTTGAGAAGAGAAAGAGAAGAAAAGAATTATCAATCTATACACGTGCAAGGATGTATAGAATTTATATCGAATAATTTTATTTTTAATTCAAGGTAGCTTCCAACGTACTTACAAATTTCACTAAATAAAATTCAATTCGCGTCTGCGTTTTTCTGAAACGATTTCTCGCATATTTACGTAGTACATATCTTCCGTTATGTACATATCCCCGCAGCTACGATAATCTCAGGCGCGAACTCGAGGAAGAGAAAAAATATCCTAGGAAATAGGAAACGAATATGGAAGACGCGGATTTCTTCGATCGAATCGAATCTTCCGCGATTGTCGATCGCGATTTCCTCGCGAAAACGAGGAACCAGTTGTAGAGGCTTCCCGCGACGATGTGGAAGAGAACATGATAATATGGAATATCGAAGATCGAGTACGTTTTATCGTGGACTCCGTTTGATGACAATCCTTCGTTACGTGTTGACGATTCAAGAGATAACGGTGACTATTCGAAACGAAGAAGCTCGACGAAAAATAAACGAGTCGTAAATTTAAACGTAAATGTAACGGTATGATTAAGTTAGTGAAAATTGAGCGAAGAAGGACAGGATGTAAGTAGACTGTGGACGTTTACGTGTTTGTGCAATAAACGTACCGAACAGCAACCATTTATTGAATGCACGTAATATTCAACAATATATAGAGTCGCCTAATTTTTGATCGACCATGTTAAATTATTTCTAAACCATCTTTGTTATGTGAGAAAATGTTCCAGACAAAAGTTACATGGTACTGAGAGGTATTAGGTTGTTATAATTAATTTTTTTTATTCTACTTGCATCGTCTTCTGAGTTTCTGCGCTCTGTCGATCAGTGTTATGCTAGTAAGAGATTCATTTTTAAGCTAGTAATATTTTTTCAAATAAATACTCATACACGTGTGAAACACATTGGCATGCATGATTTCTTGTTTCAATTGTTGTGTTTCAAATTTTCTTGAAATTTTCTTTCATAGTTGCTCGAATGATAATAAACATAAAATATAAAAATTCAGGAAATAACAAAGTTAACTTTCTCGAATTCGAAAGAATATTGGTTGTTGAGTAATTGAAAGTTATGAAAACTATAGTTACATTATAGTTATTATATATTTTAGGTAATAACTATAGTTATTAGCTAAGAAATTTACAAACTTACGAAACTTAACAAAGCGAAACATTTATTATTACATTACACGAGATATCCTCTAAATAACATGCAATCTTTATTTGAAACACTTCTTCGTATGACAAATAGGTTTATGAAGAATTTAAAATTGTAGAATTAGGGCGACTCACTGTGTGTAATAATATAAATGTATGTATTTACTGGATGGAAGTAATCTCTGTTCAAGTTTCATTCTTTCAATTAGATTTATAAAGGTACGCTATTTGCATAAACGTCCGCAGTCTATATATAAGTGTTTGTTGTTAACATTTGATGAATTATTTCCATATACATGGTATATCATAATATTCTATCAAAGTTTTCGCTATTATTTATATACGTGTAGGAAGAAAAGGCTGAGAATAATTGGAAATATTATTTCATCAACAATTTCTGGATAGTATTGCGTATCGATACGAATTTATACGATTATAAGGATTCAGTTGTATGAATGATAATTCTATGATATACTTGCGACATGTACTGTGTATTATAAATTTTGAGTTCTTTTTCTTTTTTTTTTTTTTTCATTCGTTTCGTTTCAATGAAGGAATAATGTTGCGATCAATTAGTATAAAGTTGACAATATTAGTAAGAAAATTCGAGTTACCATCCAAGGTTCCATATTACCATTTTCCCTTCGGTATTTATTCTACAGTGTTAATCACTTGATTTCAATTTATTTTCGTTAGGTCTTTAATTCGCACTAATGATAATGTCACTGTGTATTGTATACTCGAAATTTAAATAAATTAAATTAGTCTGTTATCGAGGCTGTAATCCCGTTGAGTAAAATAATTCGTCCTATTTCGCATCCTCCGAATCGTTTATGTTGAATAACATATTATTAAAATAAGATATGAAAATATATTTGTATAATCACTGCAAAGTGGTAATTAATTTTAAATTAAACCGCTAATATTAGAACTACTAAAGTGGCCATGGATACTACCGATACATTTCAATTTTTTAGAAAAATTTTGCGAATTTATAACGGTGTATTTTTAGAAACAATTAAAATTTGAATCTTTAAATTGATCAAAGTATTATTGCAAAACAATTTTTATTCCAATCGAAAGACGAGAATACTCAGTTAAGATAATTTCAAAATTGATTAATTATTGGAATTGCACATGTTCGTGCGGCTATAAATTAAAATATTTCAATTCTGATATGACGAATTTGAATTTCGATATTTAATATATTGGAATAAAATATTGATAAGACTTACGAATTTTACACGGTGAATATAATTCGTTCTCAGCATTTAATGTCGTCTCATTCTTCGAATTCGGTTTATCACAAATATTTGTGACAAATACTCCCAAAACTTTCTTTCAGATGCAACATGCAATTTAAGTTCGCGATATACGATGCTTCCGATCGTACGAATCGTCGGACGAATCGAAAGTTTCGTTACTCTGGCAGGAACGGCAACATTTTCGTCTGAAAGCCGGCACGTTGCAGTAACGTTTCAAACTTGGTACAGAGCAGAATCGATTTTTGTCTCCCCAACAGCGAGATGGAAATTCGATGGCCCTGGTCACGTGTCCGGTGCAAGAACGTATTTCCGTTTTCACAGTTGGCCCGTCGCAGCCGTAGAACGATTCGTTTTCCGGTGGGATGCAACGAGCTATTCGCGATTGTACACCCTTCCCGTTGTTCTTCGAGCACTGTAAAAATGAAAATAATGCTCAGACATTGTTCGAAATTCAAAAATGAAATAAGAATAATTTATTACAATGTGTGATAATCTACGTAACATTAATATTATCTATTATTATTTATTATTATTATAATTATATAATATATTTATAATATTTAATATTTATATTATATAATATAAATATTAAATATTATAAATATATTTATTAAATTAAATTAAAAATATAATATAATATGATATTTATATTATATAATATAAATATTAAATATTTAAATAATAATATTTAATATTAAAAATATTAAAAATATTAAATATTATTATTTAAATATTTAATATTTATATTATATAATATATAATATTTATAATATATTAATTTATACAAAAATAATTGATAATAATAACGCCATTAAAATTAATTGAAAAATTGAAGAATCATTAAATTATGAGCTAGTTACTACTTAATTTATACAAAAATAATTGATAATAATAACGCCATCAAAATTAATTGAAAAATTGAAGAATCATTAAATTATGAGCTAGTTGATGCGTGAAAATGTACTGGATAAAATTTTTTTTAGATATATATCATTGACACGTGGAAATAAAGATCGTGATTTCTTACTGGGGACCAATCAGTAAAAATCCAACGTCCAGGACACTGAATCCTATTGCATTCTCTGGTTCTCACAGGCATGGGACTTGTTTTACATATTGACGGCTGTACCATCGTTCGGTACACTTCTAATTCGTTATTCCTGTTTACCTCTGTCCCATTAAACCCCGAATGAACGCAGTATAGTTGCCGCAATTGCATGCCAAACCTTCCACATGTAGTTGAACATGCTTCCCACGGACCAGGCAGCCATTTGAAAGTACAACTGCAATAAATCAAACGAACTTGTACACGACGTGTTCAGTAGATATTTCCATCAACAATTTGTTGCAGTATCATACGCATGATTTATATGGACATTTTAGCGAATTTTCGTTAAAAGAGTAAACATTTCCTAGAGACATATTGATGTATAAATTGTTTAAAATACTTTCAGCGTCGACATTCTGAGTTATATTTTATGCAACGGTTTTCAAATTAATGGAACTGATTTAAAAATTTAAGGGTAAACCTTCGCGGGACAAGAATCAAAATTCTCTGTTAGAAATTGGTAATTTTTTGATAGTTAACTAGTTTATATTCTAAATTTTCGTTCATTTGAAGCCTGTAATGAAATGTAGATCATCTAGATTTTTCAATATAATAAATCGTCAATTTTACTGTAAATTTGATACCTAAAAACGTTGCACTTTTCTATCTCTTGGCTCGGCTTGGTTGTCAATGGACATTTCCTTCGCGATACTATTCTTCCAGTTTTCTCGTCCTTGCAGACTATCATTTTTTGACGCGTTCCACCGCCACAGCTGACCGAACAAAAGCTCCAACCGCCGAATAACCATACGTATCTCTCCTTGGCGTTTCTTTCATCACGATTTAGAAAATATTGCAACGAAACTGAAGCCGTGATTCCTTGCTCCATTGTGTTTTCTGGCACCACCAGCTGCAGAAAATGAAATTCCCAATATTGGTGAAATGTAAAGAATCAATGGAAGTTTAAATGCTGAGAGAATAACAGTAGATATTATAAAATGAAAATTATTGTTATTATTATTATAAAATAAAACTGAAAAATTAGATTTGTTCGTTATATATTATTATTAGTTTTATTTATTTTAGATTGGTCGTATAAATAAGGAAACGCAGGGATAGTATTCTTGTGTTTATACTGTTCTTTCTTTTCATGCATGGATTTTACAAAATTAAAATTAATATATCTCTTAGTATACTAAGATACATTATACTTATACTAATATATTAATATATTATATTAGTAGTATATTATATTATATTATATTAGTATATTAGTATATTAATAATATACTAATGTACTAATATAATATATTAATATATTAATAATATATATTATAATCAATATTAATAGTATATTAAAATTAATATATCTTAGTATATTAATAATAACATATTAAGCTAATGTTTTTCCAACAAAAGTACTTCTCCTTTGAAACATACCAAAATTTGTCTGAAACATTTTTTCGAGTATGAATAGTTTAGGTTTAGAAGATAATTCCATATGTGTATATATATATATAAAGATTATATATAAGATATATATATAAAATAATTCCATATATATATATATAAAAATTACTTATATATAAGTTACTTATATTACATATATTATATACTATTTATATATATATATATATGTTAAAACTGCATATTTCTTACCAGAATTACGACATCTTCAAACGCAGAACCGTCTGCCTCAATGGAATACGTGTTGCTGCCGCGTTTCTGAACGCGAAAGGCAGCACCTTGAACGATCGTTAAGTCTCTCTTACGAAAAACTAAATTCTCCTGCACGTTCCGTCTCCTCCTACCATCCCCTATCACGATCGTTGAATTATCTGGATGAAAAAATGCAGATCCCGCTACTGTGATGTTCACGCGCAAATTGTGAGCCTCGCGCGGTATTATAGCAACGCGTGTTACTTCTGAACAAAATCAATTAACAATAAAAATTAATTGCAAGAATGGAGTAATCGTAATGATAAATAAACTCGATAAAACAAATTGACGATCGAGTGATGTTAATGAAATGTGAAAGTAATTGTAATAGTAAAATGAATGTTTGGCTGATGAGAAATTCTTGAAAAAGTTTTTACAATTATTTGTAGATATTAGGAAGGTGCGGATGAAAATATTGATCTTCTGGAAAATTAGAAACTTTAACGTAGCTCCCCGCAACATCACGCGTATTTGATTAAAATAATTTTTCGAACGTTATTCTCTCTAAGTTTGTAAGGATTATGGCTTCTGGAATGTGAAAATTCACAGAATGAAATTACGTAGAATGAAAAGAGATCTTTAATAAAATTGCATAGAGTGCACACGAAAGATATATAAAATATACAAAGCGCTTTCTATGTGTAACGTTTAGTAAGTGAAACAATTTTCTATCTAGGTTCTGTTTTTTATATAAATATATTTTATATAATTTTTATATAAATATATTTTATATAATTTTTATATAAATATATTTTATATAATTTATATATAAAATATTTGTTATATTTTAAATATAATTTATAATATTATAATATTATAATTTATAATATTTAAATATAATTTATAATATTGTAATATTATAATTTATAATATTTAAATATAATTTATAATATTATAATATTATAATTCATAATATTTAAATATAATTTAAAAATATAATTTTTTATTATATTTTATATAAACTTAATAATGATCAACAACAAAATTCTGATATTCTCATTACGTGGAAATTTTCTTGGATGTACGTGACTTGTGGCATATTTCTAGTTTCTGAGATCAAGACAGAACATCGAGTTCAAACTTCAAATAAACAATATTTCACGGCCACTACTAACAGACTATTAATTTTCACCGCGTTAAGATCGTTGAAGAAAATTGTCGCAAGTGCAGCTCGTCTCGCGGAGGATTCAAAGGAAAACGAAGACGAGAAGTTTCGTCTCTTGGGGTGGATTGGACCAGCAACTAACGGCAACTCTCTCGCCCATTTCTCTCCCTTTAAGCTAATTAGGGACGTTCCATCGCTCTCCGCTTGCCCGACTATCTGACTCTGGCGGAAACTTCATCGCCTACTTCTAATAACTCAATTTAAACGGTGACTGGACTGACCTCGTCGAAGCTTCCGCTGAAACTTGCTGATGACATTCTCGCAGCTCGAATTGTCACCGCCGCACACTCCGCAAACATCCAACGCTTTCTCCGATCCTAATACACGGTCGCATCCCATTTGACGGCACTCGCCCTGACAACAAAATTTCATTCGTTAGAATAGAGATGGTAGCGATTGAGGAGTCGAAGTTGGACTGTCAACCAGAGTTGTTAAAACAAAATTTCAGTCAAAGTAGCTTGGGAAAGTCGGCCAGAACGCACGTTTAAGGTCCATTTTACACTATCGATCAGTTTTATTACTACTTTGTTCGCTAGTAATGTGGTTAATGATCATTATAAAAAATCAAGCGTCCAACACGATGCAAATATATATACATATATAATTTATATATAATATAAGTAATATATTACTACTTATAATATTATAATTGTAATATATATAAGTATAGTATTACTACTTATAATATTATACTTATAATATATAATATATTATATATAGTATAATATTATACTTATAATATATAATACTAATACTAATATTATAAGTAGCAATATATTACTACTTATAATATATAATACTAATATTAATATTATAAGTAGTAATACATTACTACTTATAAGTATAATATTATACTTATAAGTAGTAATTACTACTTATAATATTATACTTATATATAAGTATAGTATTACTACTTATAATATTATACTTATATTATACTTATAATATATATAAGTATAGTATATATATATTACTACTTATAATATAATATTATAATATAATATAATACTTATAATATTATACTTATATACTATTACTACTTATAATATTATAACATATAATACTAATTCTAATATTATAAGTAAGTATTAATATTATAATATTATAAGTAGTAATACATTACTACTTATAATATATATAAGTATAGCATTACTACTTATAATATATATAAGTATATATTACTTAATTATAATATTACTTATATATAATATTATATTATAATATAATATAATATTAATATAATATAATATAATATAATATAATATAATATTACTTATATATAATATTATATTATATATAATATAAGTAATATTATATTATATATAATATAATATAATATATTTATATATATGTTAACGTATATATGTATATATATTTCATTTTCAGTTCTGTCGTGCACGCGATTCGGAAGTTCACCTTCGAGTTTGCAACTTTCGAGAATTGGGTCACAATTAGTTCGTACCACGAAGCAAAGATTCTTGCCTCGCAAAGTCTGATCAATATTGACAGATAGGCCCAGAGGAATCTTGGAAAATTTGTTCACTTCTCTCCAGAGACATAGCGTATTTAATGGAGCTAACGAGGAAATAACACAGTCTTGCTGGACTAACACTTGGGACAGTTTTAATTCAGCATCTAGTTAATCAAGGCCACAACGTCAATCAGTCTCGCAATTAGTTCGGTATTTGATTGAGTGAAAACCACAGCCTTCAATCAACGAGTCTTGATCAAAATGTACAAAAATATAAAAATGAATCGTTTCGTTCGATTTTGCAAATGACAATTCCCGAAATGTACTTTATCGTGCACGGTTATTATTACAGGTGAATCAATCGAATCAATACCCTTTCAGATATTTTCGATCGTTTCTTGCGTGACAAAATAAAAAAGAATAGAAATTGCGTCTGCTGAAATTATTCCGTGGCGAATTAAGCTCGAGTGTTGACCTGAAAAACGTTCAAGTGTTTTCACCGAAAATACCAAAACAGAACGTGCAACGATACTCGGGGGAGATACGTGGGTAGCTAAAAATGCATGAAAGTGCACGCGCGCCTGTCCTCTTCCTCCGGGGAATTTCGCCTATCGAAACTTTTCTCGGAACTCGCCATTGTGCCGACATTTGGATTCATTAAATTGCTAAATTATGAAATGGATATTCTCAAAGATCGGAGGTGAAATACACGAGATAAAAGTACATATCACGTTGCAGATGAAACTCTAGACAATAAATTGAACAAATTTGAATGACATTTACTTACAACAAGGTTACAATTAATTTCGCAATTATCTTTGCAACTTTTAAAAATCTTTCAACTGATTTATTATATTTCTATTGTTATTCAATTATTTATACTACTATTTATTATTATTATTATTATTATTATTATTATTATTGTTATACAATTTTTATTACTGTTAATATTATTTATATCATTATAATTATAATTACTATATTTTTATAAGTTCTTTTTCGGCAATTAAATATAATTTAATTTGACAGAAATTTAAGTTAAATTTAATTTAATTTAATAGAAATTATATATATAATATAAGTAATATATTACTACTTATAATATTATACTTATAATATATATAAGTATAGTATTACTACTTATAATATTATACTTATAATATATATAAGTATAATATTATAATTATAATATATAATACTAATACTAATATTATAAGTAGTAATATAATATATATATATATATATATATATATATATATATATAATTAATTTAATTTAATTTAAATTTCTATCGTGCCAAAATTAAAACAGTGTCATTAAAACGCGTCTCAAATGTTAACGGGGAGCAAGCTGTAATTATTCATAGTTGATCATCGAATCACCAGAATGGTTTCCAATAGACCGTATTATAATAACACAAATCTAATTCGCGATGCATTTGGCGATCTGTATGTTTGAACACGTTAAGGCACACAGGGATTTACATAATTGAAATACCGAGTATGCTGACGTTGATCCCGGCGAAGCGTACTTCGCGTTCTACGTATCACAAACATTTTCGAAGCACCAGCTTTCAACAGTGGGAATATATATGTATACATGTGCTTTATTCTCCAAAAGAGTTTGATTTTCACAAGAAAACGCGATATTACATCTATCATCGGATTTGGTAGAAGTGAAATAGATATTTTGAGGTATGTTCTTGCGTATCAAGGATGTAGGATTTATTCCGTTTAACTAGCGTAACCTGGAAATTTGTTGAACATCCGTGGAAATTAAATATTTAAATTTCAAAAAGCGAGAACTTTGAATTAATTTTGTTCATTATTGATTATTGTGAATTATTAGTTTCTTATCAATTTTTAAACAAACAGCCATCGCTTGGAACGTGGTGCATAACAGAGAAAGATTAATAGATAAAGAGTAATAATTCTACATTCGAAAATAAGTTAGAATCCTTTTATTCAAGGTCTCGTTTTTTTTTTTCAGAAAATCGAGTTTGAAAATTTGCTAAATTTGTTAAATTATGTCTGAATTCTACTTGAGAATTTTCATTCATCCCTCATCGAGCGTACGCGTTATTTGTCGTTCAATTCTCACACAACGAAATATTTTCAATTGTACGTACGTGAAACATTTCACATTACCTGTATACAAATATCTGTCGATCCGTAGGAGCATGGCGTGCCATCAATCAAATGCTTCCTAGTGTGAAATATCTCGCCTGTCTCTTTGCTTCTGCAGATCAATCGACATTTCAGAGTCGCCTGGTCGGATGCGTACGGTAACCAGGTCACGTCGTTGTTGGACCGAACTCTTTCGGGATGTAGAACGTTGCCGAGTTTCGCGCACTGTTGAGCTCTGAGATCAACGGAAGTTAAACACTTTGGCAAATCGCAAAGTCTGCAATCATCGGTCGGGCCTGAGCAGTATTTCCCGCCGTAAGCAGGCCTGTACGTCGAGAAATTAAGAAGAGAGGATCATTAATATTAATTATTTTATAAAGATTACAATTTTATATTGTATCAATAGTATGTTTCTTTTTTTACGAAGCTGCTTGACCAAAAATTTTCGTAGCAAATCGTGAAATTTGCTTCTTCTTCGTGCAAGCGAGTAAAAATAATTTGCACATTTCAACTTGAAACGTACTTACAGAAATTTATTATACTTATATTTTATAATTTATTATGTTATTATACAGACTCTTCAAAGAAATTAAAATTCATAGAAATCTATGGTAAGAATTAAAATACTTGGAAAGCAAAGTAAGGTGCAAGAAATCTACTTTTGGAATCGATTATAAAGATCTACCTAATACATCTAGATCCAACCCAGTAAATAAAGATCGTGATAAAATTGTTTCAAAAGCAAATTACTGTAGTGTTATAAATATTTTACATACTGTATATGTAACTTAAGAGATTGTGAATCGAGCAGTATAAATACTATCAAGTAATATAAATACACTAACAGAGGTTTGTTGCATTTTCGTGTTCGACACTGCACTCCGACTCCACAAGTTCTCGAACACTTGTCCCAGTCACTCCAAGCACTCCAATCTCCGTTTCTAGGTTTGTTCAGCATTATTCCAATATCGAAGCTTTTTCTGTTTGTCGACTGACATCGACCGTTTATACACCACTGAAATATTTGTATTATATACAACGTGCCCTATATTTACAATTGTCATTTGACTAAATTATGTTTAATACGTATGCTGCGTTATAATCGACAATATATTGGATTATATTTACGTCAGATTTATATCTAACACAATTACATTAAATCTGAATGCATCATATCCAATAACGACTATAACTATATAATTATAATAATTATTGATAATTAGGTATGATACAATCGTGTAATTATATTTGATTATTCGTACAATTATTGTAATTGATTTAAGAAACGATGCATTCACTTACAGACTAACTAGGTACTGTGCCAATTGTTTATTTCATTTTTATTGTATTAATTAACAATAGTACTGTGTCAAAGTACTATACTAGGTTTAGTTCATTTTCATTGTATTAATTAACAATAGTACTGTGTCAAAGTACTATACTAGAATTATGCTAGGTACTGTGTCAATTGTTTACTTCATTTACATTGTATTAATTAACAATAGTTAAACGTTTATCTACCTTTGAGTTACCACATAACGTGCCCTCTAAAGGTGGTCCCTTTTTCGTTTTGCATGTTTCAGAAACGTTACTGTTACCACACCACAAACGAGAGCACGGTTCCGCGACGTCGAAAGTTTTGCAATGTTCGTAACTAAATTCAAAATACATTTGTTACTACCATGGGAGTTAGCTTGTTAGTATAATGTTAATGAACAATTTGTAAATTATTGATCATTAGACTGTTCAATAGGAAACAAATTTTGTTACATAATTCTTGCGAAAATAATGCCAAATAAAGATTGCAGTTGTTATCTATTACGTAATCAATCAATTTCTGTTTGTTGTATTATGTTTTGTCCAATTTGCCTCTGTTTAACGAAAACCAAATTTTGTTACATAATTCCTATTAAAGTAATTGGAAAAAAGGATTGTTACGTGAATTAGCTTGTACTTGTATGTTACGTGATTGAGTGATAACAAGACTGCGGATTTTTATACATTTTTCTATTATTTCGAATGAGATTATTATCTGTGATGGAACCTAAAAAGAAATTCGTAATTATAACAAATACCATTAAATATTTTATATATATATATATATATTCTTGCATGCATCTCTGCATATTCAAATTTTTCATAAACACGTTGAAATTACACAATCCAGTGGTAACGTGACAAAAGATTTATTTTTACATCAACAGCGCAAAATGCGTTAATGGTACTCTTTTAGATTCCATTTAGTAGAAGTAGAATAAAAACAGTTTGAAAATATCTGTAAATGATAATGGGTGACGTACCCTTCACCAAATTCCATACGACACTGCTCGTCCATTGTGAACGTCTCGTGAACGGTGGTCCTCAGTTGACCGAAGCCATCGTTTTTCGGCTTATTCGACAAACAGGACCACCGTCTGCAAATACCTATTTTAGGAGTATGTAATTCCAAAAGATACACACTCGAATGAAACGAGAATCCTCACCTTACTCTCCGATGGAACTCCTTCTTCGAGCAAGCAGACCAATAAAAATGATGGAACGTTGCTGCGACCATCGGCGCCATTACGCTTCCTCGAGATCCCTCTTCCTTGCACGCGTTTCCGGTCGTTTCGTCCCCGTCGTGAGTCAGACCTAGGCTACGGGAAACACGTTTGTGTGTCGTCGAAACGCAGCGAGAAGTAGCTTTGGAATTTGAAAGTACCAATGCAGAACAACTTTTGTGCGTTACGTTACGCGTGTCCTAACGTCAAATATGACACGTTAGGATAAGTCGCCTAATGCCCATTTTTGAAAAATAAACGTAACTTCACAATCAACTGAATAATTTTGATAATTTCGAGACACAGTTATAAGCCAGAAAATAAATAAATAAATTTATCGTTTTACTGAAAATAAACGAATAAATGTTTCACCCTAAATAATTAATAATTACTCGATTGTAAATACCGTATATGTAATATACTATATATAGAGTATAATATAATATTAATATAATATATAAATAATATAAATATTATTATATATAATATTATATATATAGAGTGTAATGTAATATTAATATAATATATAAATAATATAAATATTATTATATATAATATTATATATATAGAGTATAATATAATATTAATATAATATATAAATAATATAAATATTATAATATATAATATTATATATATAATATATAAATAATATAAATATTATTATATATAATATTATATATATATATATATATAGATTCTATATACTATATATAGAGTCTATATATACTATATAGATTTTTATCTCAAGAAATAAGACAGATATACTAAACACGATATATCAATAAAGCAATTTTTTTTAATATACATACAAACACATTGAAACATTTCAGAAATATTTCATACGTGTTTCAGTACCAAAGTGTGCAGTATACTCACATATGCGCTACTTCGTGCGCGATAATAAAAGCGCTGGTCAAACCTTCGTCCCGATTTAAGGCACACGATCTCGCGGGATCGCATACACCTGACACAGGTGCGTAACCAGAGGGTCCACCGATATCTAATCTTGTCAGCCATACTGCAACATCGTAATTCGTATCCGCTGAGGACAACATCTTCCTGTTCCATTTGTTCACATTTTCGAGAGATCGTCTGGCATCGCCGCGACGGACCTGTGATAAAATGAACAATTCCCCTTAATAACTGGTAAATTTTACAAATACGTAATTCATAGGTGTACTTAGTTAAGTAATTAAGCAAGTGTATTTGTTAATATGTCATTAATGGTAACATTGATGTAATTATTAACATTTTACTCTTCAAAAGTCGTAGTAACAGTTTTTTAAACTGAAGAATTAGAAAAGTTAAACGTTAAATGAAAAGTGGAAGAAATATTGTTTACAATGGTTACAAATATTAACATTACGTAGCTAAAGTAAATTAGAATAAAATTCCCACGAAGTGAAATTTTCTTTGTAATACACAGTCTTTAATGATTAATAATTAATTATATAATATTGGAAATATATATCGTACATTTTCAAATAATAACTAAGAATGTTTCATTTTAATATTTGCATTTGATGAATTTTTTAACGAACGTCGCTTTGAAATATATTATTGCCGATATTATGGAACTTGTCACATTTCATGAAATGTATCGTTCAAACAGATTCACAAATTAAAAACTAATAAATAATAAATACTTGAAGTATTTAGAATGTAATTTCATAAGAAATTTTTATCATCGCTTACCATACCGTCCCTTTTCTCCGCGTATAAAATCATTCGTACGATCACCAGAATCATATTTGATTCAAGAGACGGGTCCATATAAATTGCACTGACCTAGAATTGAGATACGTCTCTACGTTGTATCAAAATATAACAGATAGTTGCGATTTTCTAGTTATTTATCTAGCCTGCGATAGATACGTAGTATTACTTACGATGTTTAAGAGAGCCATGATATATTGTTGCACTCGAATTCCGTGGAAATCTATCACGGAATAATCAGCGGCTATCCCAATCTCTAGCCATCGTGGCGGCGATCCCTTAGCAGTTGGTCTTTTCTCTAGAAATGCACTAACAAATTTATTCCCGGCGAAAGTGGAAAAGTTGTTCAACGTCGATAATTTAAACAAACGATTTCGTCCGAAATGTCTGCGAGATAATTTACATTTTTTCAGGGTTTCGTGCTTCAGAATAGTATTCAGTATTTTATTAATTTCTCAATCGTGTTATACGTTAGAAGTAGGAATTAATAATTTATTGTTACAATAATTTATTATTAATTCCTATTACATTCTTTGTTGTATAAAGAAATATTTATCTTACTTGAAGATCTAGCCCTTTGCCATTTAGGGCCGGAGAAGTATCCAAGCTCCTCAGAATTCATCTCGATTGATAATTCTTTCACTATCGTATCGTTATACTCCGTGGATACCTCGTCCTTTTCATCGTAAAAAATCAATTTCTCAGCCTCTGGGTACTCTACGTCAAAGACATCACCGGAGAGATTATAAAATCCCTGAACGTCGTGATTTACAGAATCGCTGGATCGTTTGAACCGTTTAGTCTTTCCGTTGCTCTTTCCAGTCCCAAATTTCCTCGATTTTTCTGTAATTTTATTTCATCTGTCTTCTACTTACGTTTATATTTACAATTTTCATTCATTTTTTACTTAATTAAATCCTATCAAGATAATGTCTCTCAAATAAATTAACGATCCTTTTTATTTTTTCTCAGTAAGAGAAAAGAAAATGTGTGTTAACAGACCACGGATGTTTATGCAATTTTATAATCGAATAAAGTGAAACGTAGAAAATTATTTCTTCCATTAACTGCAACAAGAAATATTGTTTTTGTACAATTAATTATATTACACGTATTTTGACAAATTTTTCCAAATGCTTAGAAATGCACAATCTACTAATTGTTTTTTATTCTTTCCCCGATAGCCTCGTGACAATCATTTTGAATGCCCTTTGATTTCGAAACAGTAGCTAATAAAAAAATTGCTGGCTCACGGAAAAAGTCAACAAAGATCGATCGAACGAACTTGTTTAAATATTAGACATACGGTCAAAGTAATAGCTTCGGCAGTGTTTCATTTTTGTAAGGGAGCTTTCAAATTTCAATTTGAAAGAAAACCGTTACCATGGCGCTATCGATTTTTCATCTATATTTCAACCGAGTTTTAAATATTTACATTGCGTTCCCCGACACGTGACATCAACGTTAAATCCTTGAATTTCGATATACCAACATCATGCAACCTTCGACGATCGGGGATTCAATTGACAGACCAAATAATTAGTTTATAAACTGAAAGTTTCCCGGTGCAATAAATTTTATCGAAACTTGGCCTGAGTTTTAAAGTCGCGACCGTGTAGAGTGTTACATAATTCCATTTCACTTCAGTTTTCCAGATTTCAAGCAATTTATGAAACTGAAATTCATTGAACATTAAACATTAAACGTTAAAGACTCCTCGTGTAATATTACTGGCCATTTAATGTAGAAGTTATCAATAGCTACTTCGTTCCCGTATTTTTAACCAGTCGTATTTAGATTTAGTTGGTGATAATTTTAATTTCTGATAGGCTTGTGCATTATTTGACTGTAATATTTGAAAAATAATTATTTACGTAGTATATTATCTTACTTTGTTCGATAATTCATGCGATAATTAATTATTTTATTTGAACAAGGAAATGATATTTTTTTGAATTATTTTACTATTTTATCGTGTTATGAATATTACATATACTTCTGCGTTTTAAAATTCTCTATAAATATATAAAAATCCTATAAATCTCTATAAATATATAAAAGAGTTTCACTAGTCTGTATAAAAGCATTGTTACATTTATATTTATAATATTAATAATTTTATATATTATATATATATAATGTATATATAATATAATAATTACTGTATTAAATTACTCTTTAAATAAAATCATTGGGCTTATAAATGACTGCAATAGTCGTACGTCATATTAAATTTTCAGTCAGAAAGTACTTACTAAAATTTATTTAATTCAATAATCCTCCGTAATGGTAACAGAATTAAATTAAATGGAACATTTTTAAATTAAATACTTTAATTTTATATTATCGTGTAATAGGTACGACATCAACCGACGACGATATTAATCAAGTATCACGTCAGAATAAAAAAAGCAGTAGCAATGAAACATGACAAAGGACAAATTTTAAATCAGAAGGAATTACCAGAGAACTATCTATTGACTAGAAATAAAAAAAAATATCTTTAATTATATCATATAATAATAACTATTATTATATATTATTATATAATATAATATCTATTATTATATTATAATATATTTATCATATACCTATACCAGAAATTTAAAAAAAAAAGAATCATCCTCACTTGTCCGTGCAGGATTTTCCGGAGTCACAGAGACAAAATTCGAGTACTCCCTAGCCGACCACCACCGTTTATCTCTCGGCTGGAACATCACGTGCTGGCCATTCGTCAGCGGCTGCACGAGAAACGATCTCTGATCGATCAACATCAGCGCGTACAATTCTTCCCTGCACAGCGTCACCACCGCGAACGAATTCTCATCCCCTCTCAAGCCACCCTGCCGAAGATCACAATCCACCATACCGTTGTATTCAACGAATTTCGTTTCGCCGCCGCGGTGCACCCAATTCACCGTGAAGTTCGACGACAGTGTCAATCGATCGTTCGCCACGGTCCTCAAAGTCCAATTGTTGATCCCGAGGGATATCAGTTGCTCTTCGAGGTGTTCGAGCGAAGACGTACCTCGGTCGTGGGCCGATCGTTTGTTGCGCGCGTTTTCACTCGTGATCACTCGGGGGTAAACGATCTCGTACTCGTGCAAACTGTGCAGAAACTCGCCCATTCTCGATTTGGTGGCGACGGTGCCGAGCAGCCACGCGGCGAGGAGAAAACTGGGGAGTTTCGACTGCTTCGCCATGGCCGGGCGCGGGCTTTGATGAAATTTCAATTGGACGTTCCGGAACTCGCGCTCTGGGACTCGAGCAACATGCTTGCTCAATGGCAGATGCAGTTACTGGGTGATAAAGGAAGGAAATTTCGAAGAGTCGATATTCTGGTCTCGTTTCAAGTCCGTGCCAACCGCTCGTCAATCCGTAAACGCGTTTTACGTCACGGTGTCATGTCGGCGTGGACGTTGCTGGTATCCTTGAAACACAATGTTTGAAACGGTTTTTGTGGTTTGTTGCAGTTGCGTACACCACCGTGCATAAATACAGTCGGACACCTGGTGCAATTCCGTTGAAAGCTTGATATCGACGAACGTGTTCTATTATGAATTTTCTGCACTTTCAGGTTTTAAAATTTCACTTTGTAGCCCTGGAGCTCTATCGAAATATTCTACATATAAATCATTACAATTGAGGTCGTAATAATTAAATTGTACCGTCAGCGCTAATTTTGTTAACTAATGCTTCGTAAAATCTGTATAAAAAATCTTTAATAACGTTGTTAGAAATACGTAATCGTTTTTAAAGTTTCAACGATGAACAGAGATGTCTATAGTCACTTTGTCGAGTCGTCAATTATCTGATCGTTACATTTATTTATTCTTCTCATCTGTTAACTGTACATGTTAAAATTAAATCTAAATTGTATATATTCCAATAATTTAGAAGTGTCCAGATACTCATGCACGATAGTGTAGGCGTAACAACAATGAATCTTGTGGGATTCAATATACAGCATGAATCAAAAGTGAGTGTACGCTAATTTATAAATATTTAAAAAACGTCCAGAAAATTCGAGTTGTCATAGTGTACACTTATGATTTATTTATTTATTTATGTGTATATTTGTAAAATATTCTCAAATTTTGATATATCCTATAGTTTATATGCTTAAGCTGTACACTTTATAAAGTTGTACATTTTAATTTATATTTCATACTTGAAAACTTTTTTTAGTCTGAGCAATAATTTTTATTAAATTAAATTTTATTTGTTACAAGGACCTTATTATAAATATGTGACACGGGATATTCATGTATGAATTTCATTGTGCTGCATAATGAAGAATATTTAATTTCGTAAAAATTTAATACGCAGAATAAAATTCGAAGATTAAATGGGAAATATTTTCAACAATTTCTGAAGTTGTGAAATTTAATATTCGCGAGTATTTAGTTTCATTGTATACGTTCTTCACTATCCAATAAACATAAACCTAAACGGAAATATTAATATACATTTTGAAATCTATTTTCTCGTATGGAAAAATATTATTTCATATTTTTCTGTCTTATCTCTATTTGTTGGTTGTGTTACCAGTTATAGAACACTCTGCGTACAAAGTAAATCACGCACAGCTGAATCAGCTTCGAACAAATCTGCAAGTAATAACTAATAGCTAAAACTGTTTCTGTTAATATTTGTTTCAATTTTCCCGTTACTTGTGTTTCTCAAAATTTCAATAATCCAATTATTTCAACTTGAGAAAATCGCATAAAATTACCTCGTAAAGCAGAAAACGATTTCACAAAGGGGCATCTTCATTTTCCAATTATCCTCAATCAATTTCTTTTCTGATTACACGACTCTGACTCGCAGTACTATCTTAAATGACTTTATAAAACACAAACCAACATCGTGAAAGAATATTTTTCTTCCAACTATCCGACGAATTTCTCTTGATCGCAGTACACGAAACTGTCTCGCTGAATTGGAAATTCGATTTTTCCAAATTTATTCAATTCCTTCCAGTATCTTTCAATCGCCATTTAAGCGAAACTGCCTCGCTAAAGTCGAACGTTTTTTCAGTTTCTTCCTTCTTTCTTTTTTTTTTTTTTTTTTTCTTGACTTTCCTTTCAATCCCTCAATCGCCGTTCAAGTTCACAAAACTATCTCGCTGGCGGCTCAACTCGATTACATCACAACCACTTATATACGGCAACAAACTCGTCGGCGGTAACTAACAGCAATTAACGATACACGCGAGTAAAACGGCCGGGCATGTAGCGAACGATCGCGAGAGGAGCGGAATAAAAGTGGAGCGAGCGATAACAGCGATTAGGCGACAATCGCACGCCTCGCCGAGCGATTTAGACAAGCGATTTCTCCAGCGAACTTCCCGCTCTCACCAACCATCCTTCACAACTTGAAAATGCGCGCCAATTTTTCGAACAAGCGCCAAGATAACACTCTGCAGCAATCGGTTCGAAATCTTAGATCGATCGAACACGAATATTTCGAGCAGAACGTTTTAATGAAAAACTTCAACACTTTCCACTGAAACAATCCACCATCAGAGAAAAGTAAAGCGCGATAGATCTTAAATCAGTCTGGATGAAACGTTTCTTAAAAAAAAAAAGAAGAAAAAAAAATTGAACGTTTCGGATGACTATAACTAATATAAATATTCCGGATGACCGACTGTAATAATTCGAACGCTTAAGTAAAAAAATGAAACGTAACGATCCAGGATCTCTAGGATTAATCGAACGTGATATTTTGGCAACGAAATGTTCGAAAGAGAGAAGAGTGTCGTAAAAATTTGAACCGAAAGTCTCTTTACTGAAACTCGGAGACGTGATGGTTCTGGACGGGATCGTTTCGACGAAAAAGCGAAGTGAACGCGAAGCGAACGAGCGTCGTGCTACAACTGGCAGCCACATGGACGAAAGAACGCGGTGAGCTCGAAAGGCTCGAAAGCACTTTGAGTGCAACGCGAAGAGCGAATTGTGCGTAAGTGTACGCGCGAACCCGACGCTGGATAAAGCACCGAGCCCGCTTGCCGCCCACTGAAGTTCTAATAATGGCAGCTTTATGTGCAATCACCGAGAAACGAGGATGCTGGCCAAATGCAAACGCATTGTTCGACCCGCGCGCGACCGCCCGACTTCAACAAGGTCCGAGGATTTCATCTTTGACGACGTTCTCTCGCCCTCCCCACTAGAATTCCTCGTTTCCCTTGAACCGCGATTCCCGGGGTTCGTATTCATCAACGCGGGAATTAAATCTTCGTTTCGACAGATTCCACGGACCGCCAGGGAAGAGCTAGTAGAGAGATGATGCCGATCCCGAAATATTAAACGCAACGGTGCGGTTACAACAAGTATGTGCGTGTAGTTTGCAAAGTAAATAGGTGTAATGTTGCTTTCAAAATAGACGCACGCTTGACCGATGTTCCGGTCACTCTAAAACAGTATTTCAAACAAAATGTAACTATATTTATAGATATATTGTTTTCTATCGGTTAAAATATTATTTGAAATTTAATGGACTTTGCAAGTATATGTTAAATAATTATCTCCATCGTCATTTGTGCAACGAGATGTTTGGTTTGAAGTATTATTTTATATTAATGTAATAATAATATATATTAATAATATAGTATTATAATATAGTATATATATATTATATATATATATATACATATATATATATATATATATATATATATATATTAATATAGTATAGATAATATATATTATAATATATATTAATATAGTTAATTTATAGTATATTTTTTATATAATAATAATATTATAATGTTATAATATATTTTTTATATAATATTAATTATATAATATTAATTTTAATATAATTTTTATATAATATATTATATTATATTATAGTATATTATATATATATTAATATAGTTAAGATAATATATATTATAATATTATAGTATATTATATATAATACAATAATATATTAATATGAATATTATTTTTCGCGTTCCTAATTGTTTATTCTTTATTTTATTTTTATCTTCATTCCTTATTTTACATAAATGTTGTGTCGATGAAGTAATTTTAATATTATGTTTACGTTTCTGTGTAATTTGAATGTTTCTATGTATATATGAATCAAATTACAATACTAATAAATAGTAATAAATACTAGGAAGAATTAGTGAATTATATAAACTATTTGCCTGACGACAAATTCATATCAATGAGCGACTACTCACAATGAGTGTCACTTGAAATCGTACGTCTAAAAATTGTTTAAATTATTATACAAATAATCCATTATGTATATCATATAACTACTATATAAATAACTTTTGTATCACGTCAGTGACAGATTACAATAATACCTACGTCTTCGTGTTAAATTCTTCGCGAGAATAGTTTTATTGTCTCTTAACAAGATAATATCATCTCGCCTTCCACGAAACAGATTCCATTCTCTGCCTTGGTTTTTATAACGATTGTCACATGATAAAACACTTTGTAGAACTATCAGACAATTTTCCTTTTTTCAAACATTCTATTATATGGGCTTTGCGTTAAGTTTTTGGGATTCGTCAGGATGATTCTCTATTCTGTTATTTACATCTTTGCTCTTTTACATATTTTATTTTTATTCTTCTTCGCGGAGAACTCCTCGTCACTAATATACCACGCAATAGCTTTTCTTGCCATTAAAGCCTCGTTTTGGAATTTCTGGATAATGTTCAAACTACTTTTCTTCCACTGGATATCACACGTCCATATTGGACTCATTGCAACTTTATTTTGAATAGTATTATATTTTGTTTTATATAACGACGGCGAAGATCTATACATATATTCAATATAATTTTTTTTTCCATTTTTACATCTTCATTTTCTATTTTTTAGAATCCCATCCTGGGTGAAGCAGAGCTTCTTTAGCCCGATCTCACGATCGAATCATTAGTTCATAGGTTCGCAGGATACAAGGTTTAATGAGAGAATTATAGCACTGGCTTATAGTGCTAGTTGCTTCGAACTTGGAGAGGATGAGTGTGCAGCAGGATCGCTGGAGGACTTTCCTTTAACCCGCTTAATCCCCAAAATAAAACAAAAAGCCATCTCTTCTTCACTGGCTCCAAAATTATCGATTTCAACAGATTTCATTTTGAAATAAAAATAAAAGCGTAACATTTTTGGTAATTTAGCTTTCGTATTGTCGACAAATTTCGAAAAATAAAACTGGAAATGAATTTAACGAACCTTATCCTCGTTTCATATCTTTGTTCGTAGCATTTAAATTCTCGGTGTGTTCACTGTATCAGTTATCAAGAGAGATGACTGTTGTTCCGTAAAAAATCAAGAAGAACCGAAAGGAGAGAAGAAAGAAAGGACTTGTTCCACTGGATCCAGCCAGAAATTTAGACACTGTTGCTCAGCGAAATCGGATTGACGTTCAATCGGAGCTTTCTTCTCTTCTACGAAGACGATAGCACGAAGATTTCCAGGATGCTGTTGAACAGAATGCATGAATTTAAACTGAATGCTCTCATTTAGGCAGTGTAAGTGTGTTAATTGGTCACAGCTGTAAATGCTCTGACAGTCTGAACCGTGAACGATACAATTATACAAATTCGGATACTCGATCTCGCATGAATGAAGTACAATTTAATTTCCCACTTTTCGAGCGAAATTCGAGTTATTACAAGGAGATTACAGATGTTTGTATTTGAGAGAAAAATGATGCGCAAGAATGTTCTAGTTTATAAGTATTGAACACAGTTCAAACTTGATGAAATAAACAATGACTCGAAAAAATATATTAATAATAGATTTTACTTGTGCAACTGAAATTTAGAAGTTCGATCTCTGTAAAAATAAAAAAAAGAACAAACAAATTTATATACTCTATATGTATAATACGAATATTCTAAAATATGAAAATATAAGAAATGAAATAATAATTATTTTTTGAAGTTTCCTAAAGATTATTCAAAATTCGAATTTTTTCATAAAATGTCTCAATGCTCTTGAAATGAGGACGAATATTCGTAAATATCATAATAAGTAAATTACTTATTATGATATTTGAAGCGTGATATAAATCTCAATTTAAATCCTATTTCTTTAACAGTATAAAATTATGTAAAAAAATTTGTGCAAAAATTCATTCAATAATAATATTTTTCACTTTTATTCATTAAAATGAATAGCTCAGTTTTTATGTCCTAAGACATAAACAATAAAAACAATAAGAGAATAATTAAAACATCAAAATCAATAAAATTTGTATTTATTCCCATACAACTCTTCCTTAATGTTGAGTATTTACAACTTTATACAATTTATATACAGTATGAATAATACATCATAATATAACACATATAACAATCTTCTTAAAATTAACAATTTAGAGAACCATGAATTAAAAAATACCATTAATTTATTGAACAATAATAATTTATCCATATTAGGTGCCGTAATTCTAGCCATGTAATTATTAGCATAGCATTTTTATTAATAACATTAACATTTAAGAATTTCTTTTCATATTATTAATTTTAAGAATTTTTTTTTTTTTATAATATTAACATTTTAATTTATCAAATATGTATATATCTATGTATACATGTATATTTACATTTATTTACAAAATTGAAATAATTATTTCATTTATAATACAATAAAATCGCACTTATGTATCTTACAATGTACAGCATAGTATCTATATAAATGACAAAGAAATTTATGCATAGAAACAAATACACCCAAAGGAACAAAAGTTATTTTATTCATCAGTCAGCTTCTTTTACCGATCTACAGACGTGGACAAAAATATTCGCATACTCCAATTATCCATACTTTAAACTGTTTAAACTTCGCAAAACAAAATCGTGCAACAAGTCTCAAGAGGAAGAGAAAACTTCAATCGTCAAGATTATGGTAGATTTAGTAATGAAAAAAATTAACGTCGGTCTCGTTTCAAAGTGGAGAGTCACAGCACACTTTGAAACGAGAGCAACTGGATTGTCACACGACTACTTTTTATAGAGTTATAACAGTTTAAAGTACAGACAATTTCTCGTTGAGCGTGCAAGCACTTTCGCCCACCTCTGTATATGGACCGCTTATTTTGAAAGTGGCGTGAGTCCATTTTTTGAGGAAATTCAGAGAACGAAAGATTTACATTACATATGCTTTACGTAAACTGTGGCGATTACGCACAATTGCACAATCGACGCAAAGACAAATGTCGAAACAAAAAGAAACTGAACTTACATCACTTTCAAGGTAAAACGGCCCATATTTTATTCTTCGGATTCGTCGCGTCCTGACTGCCAAGGCTGTCGTAAACTTAATCTTCACAGAAGATAGCTAGCTCGGAGGAAATCCCCCGATCTTTGTCTAACAGTTTTCTGAAGCCCGACACTTGCACTAAACCGAGAGTTTAAATCACAAAGAGAGTGAAATCAATTAGCACACATAAAACCTCTTGTTCGACTAATAGCCATTGTTTCACAAATTCAAAATTGGTCGTGTTGTCCCGAAGTTGTCCCAGACACACGTAGAGTGGTCGATTTGAGAGTGGTTTCAGTGTATTTTGTGTTTTCGGAGCAACTACGTATGTCCATGGACCACTTAAATGGGATGGCGCTTAAATAACTCCACTTGTTTTTAGAGGCATAAATAAACTTTGTTAATAAAAATTATTCAGTTCATATGGGGGCCATGATATGGCAGTAACAACTTTTCTGCAGGTGGAAGGATTTCGAAGATTTCAAGGTCGCCTTTTAAATGGAACAATTTATTTTCCCATCCGCTGCTCGGTGTAGTCCGGCATTCTCTGTGAGGGAAAGTATTAACTTATGTATGCTATTAATTTAGGAGATATTTTTATACTTTGAGTACTCCTCTATACGTCTCCTAATTGTGGAAGACGCACGACTCATCGTCCCCCAATTTTCTGGAAGACGATATTATTTACTCAAATAGGAACAACTTTCGTACTTGTTTATGAACATATTGAATTTAAATAATTGAAATTTTAATTTGTAGATAAATATATATATATATTTTATTTGTAACTAAAATATTATATTCACCACTTTGGTGATTAATCTTGGCCAGCGGAACTTCGTTGTAAATGTAATATTTTGTTGAATAAATAAAATATACATATTTATTTATTTACAAATTAAGATCTCGTTGTTTGAGTTCAATGTGTTCGTAGATAAATGCAAAAATCGTTTCTATTTAAGTAAATAATATCGCCTGCCTACGATAAGTTGCACGTCTCCCAGAATTTAAAGACGCAAAGTTGTTAATCTTAATTCTGTAAAATTTATCGTAGGAAATGAGGAAAGACAGAGACAGTCATTCTCTCACTCATACTACTCCCGACTTTTACTCATAGATTTTACAGAATTAAAGTTAAGAGATCTCTTAAATTAACAGTTTATCGACATATATAAATTAATACTTATAAAGAATGTCAAGATGCACCGATTGGATAAAAAAAGTATCATTGCATTTAAGAAAAGCGTGGATGACGTTGAAATCTCCAAAAACTCTCCATCTACAAAAAAATCATTACTGCCATATTATGGCCCCCAAAAGTATTGAGTAAGTTTCACTGACAAAATTCATCCATGTCTCCGGAAAGAACGGAGTTATTTACGTGATCTTATTTGTGATCCACCCTGTATATTGTCAGCAACAAGAATCGTTATGTAACATCTAGAATGTGCTTTATTTGTTTCTTGTCATGTCCGCGCGACATTCAATTAGGTTTACAACGAATCCGATTAATATTCGGACACTAAATATTTAAACTGTTATCATTTTGTAATTTTATAATTCATTTTATTTTCAATTGTGCTTACGTAAACTATTTTTATGTAACAGATGGCAAAAGAAAGATATTTTTCTCCTTGAAAATGCTATAAATCGTCACAGTATGTAAAAACATTGAAAAATTTGTTCCATGACTGAAATTACAATGAATTTGAAGATTGAAGTCTCTCAACGATCTCTTAAAACTTGCTGTTTTTAAAATTTGTCGAATTTTGAATGTCAGATGAAAATGTAATTTTCATGAATGTTTGTCATTTAAACCTAACATTCAAAATTCAATAAAATAACTAAAACATATTATACGTCAAGTAATGGGGATTATTGTATTTTCAAATCCATAATATAGATACAGTCATGAGAAAAATTTTCCAACATTTCCACATACTATTTTAGATTACAAAAACGTTCTAGTATAACATATTTTGAACGTAGAAGCTTTAAGCTTTTGAATGAGCTCAAGTTTATTATTGTGCAATTTCTTTTTACAAAATTATAATAACTTCAATATTTAGTGTCCGAATATTTAAATATCCGAATATCAATTGGATTCATTCTGGCTTCAACAGAAAAATTAAATCTTCCAGATATTGCCTCGATCGCGTTAATATTCTTTCTTCTTTCTGTATCAATTGTTTCTGTATTAGTTAATCGTTTCGAAGCGAATTTATTTTCAATCAGCCAAGCTTATAATATTTAATCAGCGAATAGTGTATGTGAGTGGGCAAGATTTACGACTTCACAAGGGAAAGTTTCCTTTTACAGGCAACCCGGAAATGAAAATTCGAATGACATGTAAATAAGTATTGAATAATGAACTGAATTATTTACACGGAAGACCGAACGTTATTCTGTTTGCAATGTCAGGATGGATACATGATAATTGTTAACGTAATCTGGAGTATTAAGGCTAGGAACAAATCGATCCCTCTTATCGTCAAGTCATTCGCAGCACCGGTACCAACATTGCAGTACGATTGTTCGCAGCAGGTGGTGCAAGCGGACAGTTTCGTACGTTCGCCGATCACTATACATCCGGGTTCACATTTACTAGTGCACTTCCTCTCCATTGACCATGTCTGAGGGCTAGAGGTCGAATCTTCCGTGCTGGTAGTGTAAGAAAATCGCTTTACCTGGAAAAGGGAGGACAAGCATGAAAGAAGTATTATTAATTTTGATGATTTCATGAGGAAGGATTCCAACTGCGGAGTAATTCCCTTCGTTTAAATAATCAGCGATGTTTTATTAATTGTTTATCATAATTTAAATAATTATTCAAGACTGTACTTTCATACTTGAATTCCTTTTTAATAAAAGGATTCTACTTGTTTGCAATATTCGTATTCGTATATGTACATATTGTATATTCATGTAATATATCATGTTTTCCTCATTTGAGAAATTTTCTGTTTTAATTGAAATTATTGACAGAATATAAATGAAAGTGAGAATAAAAATTTGATTGCTCTTATCGAAAGATGTTTTAGGATTATAATGACAAATTTTTGTATAAAGTCTTAAATACGAGTTAAGTAAAAGTAACTGAATAATATCAATTATGATATTTATATAATATAGATTTTTCAAATGAAATCTCCATTGATTTGATCTTTTTTTAATTTCATTTTTGTAATTTAATAATAAAAATAGGCAGAAAAGTATGCAGTTTATTTCTAAAGATAACATTCGAAGAAATTTAAAAATAAAATAATATATAAAATGTAATACTTGTTAAAATTTCCTACTATCAAAGTTCAATTTTAATAACACACACAATTATTTCACTTTGTGTAACTAAAAAGTATTTAAACTCCTTTATTTTTTATTCCATGTAATATCTCATATTTGAATTTATAATTTGACTGTATAATTTATCTAAATATCAACGTAACATATTTTCAGTTAAGAAAATGCAAAAAATACCATGGAAATATTTTCCAACGTGGTTCGTATTATTTCTAGAGATACAATCCACTCTTTGTTTATTTTCAGTTGATATTAATTTCAAGTTTGATAAAATTTTTACTGCCATGTTTGTCCTTCTGAAATCTACGTGCATGGTATATACATCGTACATATATTTCTATGGAATGTGTACGAATTTCTCTGATTATTATTCAACTAAATTAATTGATTATTTTCATATACCTACTATCATTTGTATATATAAGATATTTATCAATATATGAAAGTAAAATTAATTTTTACTTTCTATTTTTCTTTTTTTATCAAAATAAATTAATTGATTGTCATAGTTCAATATATCACCATAAATCAGAACTGAAGTCAGTATAATTATTTTATAGTTAGTATAGAAATTTTTCAATATTAATATAAATTTAAAATACATGCATATTGAAAACGTTACAAAAGAAATTTTATTTCTATCGTTTACTTTTCTTTCCTTTTTATCAAATTAAACTATAATAATATAGTCCATAATTTTGTTACAATTTCATGAAATTCCATATCGTAAAAGATATTATAACAATATCGTTGTATCATGCTATAAATTATAATATTATGCAGAATTACGTTGCGTACGAAATGAAACTTTGTCTCTATCTTTATTAGACTTCTGCTGATAACTAATATCACTTCTAGACGGCTAGTACGTCCTGTTTGCTCTAACAACATGGGAGAAGCAAAATATCAAACATTTGTTGAAGCACGCGTGTGCCCTGCATACAATCAACAAGCGTGCTGTTATCATTTGTCATTACCATACAGGTCCTTTTGTCGCCGGTGCATTTGTGTCCGAAAGCAGTAGAATTTACCGTGAGATTGGCACATTTCTCTCCATCTTCCATCGTTTCGCATTGATAACACCATAAATCGTTTATTCGTTCCGATGCAGCGTGAGTTCGATGCTCCTTAGATGACAATTGCCCTGATCATCGAACACAATCAACCGGTAAATACACATTGGCTAATAAAAATCGCGATTTATTTCGGATTTAGAAGATTTAGAAGGTTTAGAAGAGCATAATATTGTACAAACGCAACGACGAAAAATTTAAGTTGTTATAAGTTTGCAAAGAAACAGAAATTTATACAACAAACCGCTTTGCCTCGTTTTAAAACGTAAAGTTTCTACTTTGACAGTCGTGAATTCTTCAAAGACGTTTCTACATCACGTAGATACTTTTATTCTTGAAAATTATAAAAATTCAAACGTCCCTAATAACATTGGAAAATCTTTCTGGATTCTGGTTCATGGTTCTCGAAAATTTGGAACGACTGAAACTTGCTGTACGATTGTCTTCACCATTTTATTGATCTTTGAACATTGAAGTTAAACGGCGACAATTTCTTGAATAAGTAAATATGATAGTGATAAATAAATAAATAAATTGCTCACTCTAAATGAAATATTACTACTGAAATTCTTTTCATACTATACAGGATAATGTTCGTTTATTCAAGTTCAATAGTTCGAAAATAAATTAAAGTCAAAATAGATTTTATTGTGTATGTCATTTACGTATGTATTATTTAAAAAGATATGCATTCTGAAATGAAAAAAGAAAAAAATCAACACATTCATGACGTTTATAGAAATACAATCAATCATAATTCACGATCAAATTCAAATATAACTTATTAAACATCTCACAAAACAAAAATCACCTACAATTAGCATGTACAATAATCACACGATACATATAACAAATAATAACACCTAAAAGTACTTATAGAGGCTTTATGTAACGATTATATATTATATGTAATTTTTAACTTGTGAAGGTTTAAAAAAAGACAGATTCCCAGAACATGTGCTACGTTATATTCTTATACTTTTACAATAAATGGTCCTGGAGGTCAAAACACATGCATTAAAGACTGCAAGTAACTGAGCCAGTGACATCCTGTAACATAAATCCAATGACCGCATGCGTTGCTACATTGTGCAGATTAAAAATTTATGAAAGCACGAAATTTGACTTATATGTGGAAGCAAACTTCGAAGTCCAAATCAAGTGAAACACATGCTAAACACTGGACAAGTACATCATTTAAGTTACAAAGGCCAGAGGAACCGGTGATTTCGAGTTACCGAGATTCGAATTACCGAAGTTCGACTGTATAAAATATACAAAAACCCCAGTCACCGTGCGTTCAATCAACGTTAAACGTTTGAAGAATGTTAAAGAAAAAAAAAAGAAAAAAAAAACAATCGTACGTACAATTCTCTCAACACATAGATGCAGTATAAAGGATTAAGTCGGTCGAACAAGGACGAGTATAGTACGAGCAGAGTGCAACACTTACCATCGACTTTGGCGACCGAGGCAAGGATCAGAAAACACATGACAATGGTACATGTACCATGGACCATGTTGATCAAGAACACCGCATCAGGTTCGAGAGTTAAATCGTTGGCCTTTGTTACTCGTGCACTGGCCCCGTCCTGCTGTATCGTCGCGAGCGTGACACGGGACGATTCGTCGTTGTTGAACAGCCATATTGAGACAGCTGACGTCTGCGCTCGGCGAAACGTAGGTACCACCTGTTCTAGAAACCTCGAAACCCGAGGAAAATCAATATCCATGGCAGCCGGAAGGTCCTGTTCGTTCAGCGGGAACGTTTGACGTCAAAGTTTCTGCGCATCCGCGTTATTTCCAGGAAACAGAAAATTCACCGTCACAGAATCGATGATTCGCCGGCACCACAACTAAATTCGACTTGCGAGAATCGCGTGGACGTATGGCAAATAAAATTTGCGAACCACCGCACTTCATCGATAAACGCGATCGATTTCAAAGGCATCGATCAGCTTTATGCCAATCGAATATTGAAGGTAACTTTGCTTCTGTAAATTGGTACAGTGCCTGCCCGGTCCGTGGATATTGAACTAGCAACTTTCAATGTCTTGTGTGCTTTTTTAATAAAATGGAAACGCTTCAAATTAAGTTTTATCGATTATCAAAATATTAAACACAGGTACATTCTGAAATATTTACTATTAACCCTCATCCGTCAATTCGACACATTTTTCTTGTATAAAGTGTGTAAAAAACATAATGTAAAATTGAATAGAATCTATATCTGAATGGTTATACGAAATTGAATAGAAATTTAATCCATTTACTATTAATAAAAGAATTCGGCAAATTTAACAACTTATCTTTTCATCGTAGACATTGATTTTTTTACAACTGTGTCAATTTGACCACCAAGGGAAAACTTAGGGGCAGAGGATAGTCAACTCCAGTTCATTGAAAACCCTGTTTTCGTATAAAAAATAAAAAGTGTTGCAGGTTTTGACTATTAAAAACAATTGTGCAAATTTTCATAAATTAAAAATAAAATTAATGCACAAGTTAATGCAGAAATGGAAGAAACATCTAAATCAGATGAATCTAAGAAAACAGTAGAATATTAAAAATTGTGATCCTATCTCAATGGTCAGGGAATGTAATAATGATTTACAATAGCTCAAGGAATTATTTGGACACGTGTGCAAACCTTTCTGTAAATTTTACAAGTCCAAAATAAATCTGCAAATATACGTAGAAATTATGAAATAGTACTTAGTACATATATTTGGCAGGAATCATAAAAAATGTTAAAACAATCAATTGTTCATTACGTAAAAATATAATGTTTAGTGAATGTTAATATCTTATTATACATACACAATTTTCATTATACTTATTATAGAACTCACATCTTATATCAAAATTTACTATATTAAATACACCTATTTTCTATCAATTTTTCATAATACAATTTTATTTATGTATAAATAAAATGATTGAATTTTTTTGCGTAATAAGAAAATAATAGACAATGAAGTGAACGTACCTTTATAAAATATAAAACTTTCTACGTATTTGTTTATAGAACCTGAACTCATGAAAATAAATGCTTAAAGTGAGCAAACTATCTATGATCGTTAACGGCTGTACCCTGTAATATGCCACACACATATGCGTTAAAAGTGGTCAAATAAATACAATGGAATTTTATACCTCAAATCTTTCAACGGTTTTCAACATTTCCAAATACTTGTGTTCAATCGAAAACTCTGTCAGGAATGTACAACTATCTCCTCAATCAAATACTAATTGCTATTTTAATATCATAAAAATACTGCAGATATTAAATTTTCACTGTAAAACAAATACCAAAAATTCTCTCTGATCTTCAATCACGACGACTCCTGTATTTATAAGCTACAAATTGAAACTTGCATTTCTTACTGATATGCCTCAGAGTTCCATCAGAAAATGAATTTAATTCCATTCCATGCCGTCCTAGCAGGGTTAACAATCCCATAATCTCTGCTTATCCCACTTCAAACATACCCTGGCAAAATTCAAATTAGTCGTGGAGCGAGTGGTCCGACGTTTTTAAAATCGAATAGACCGCAAACATGATCAGCAATACGGAGGATTATTTCCAATTGTCTGCAACGCTGTTGAAACCACTGTTTTCGCGGTTTCATTAACCCTTTGTGCTGGAATGACGTGCTACGCGCATCGAAAGACTCTTGTCTTACAATTAGAATTAGAATTGAAGTAGCTTGCCGATTGAGATTGTTTTTCAAAAAAATACCGTATAGTAAGCAACACATCACACGTTACAGCCTTCATAAAGATGCGTATATTTATTGCAAATCTTTGCTCAATTTCAAATGTATCTAATTATAATCCAGGCAAAACTCAGTGTTATTTAACGTACGTTGAAGCGTATGGTAATCGTCATACACAACGACTAAGGCCTTAGTTATGCAGGAAATTTGTCAACTGTTAATCCTTCAGAGACGACGTCTGTACACCGACTCTCATACGACATTTCCCAGATGTTATTTCAACATTATTAAATTTCATAACTATATGCAGAGTGTCTCACTCGATTTTGACATCTTGATTACGTCGCTGAAATTATTCGTTGCTGAAATATATGTCAGATCAAAGTTGAATGGTTTCGAGGAGGAGATATTTTAATATTAATTTTTTCGTGAGTAGAAAAATTTGTATAGCTGTCGATTTTGCTTCTTTTATTTTAAATGAAATGTATCAATCGATGGAGTTCGACACTTTCTATAAGGAAAGAAACTTACGTACGTCGAAGAATTATTGTTTGGTAGACATTTCAATTTTAATTTTGTATAAAATAATATCGTACGAAAGACGATACTCGAGCAATGTTTAATTATTCTCCTCTCTTATATAATATTTCATACGAAATTAAAATTGAAATAACATCTAGACTAATTATTTTTCGACACATACGTACAATCGAATAGTGGCTTTTTCAAATGTAACGAAAATAACAATGTTTAATAAATAAAAAAACTGAATAATATAGTAACATAAAAGATTAGAACAATCTAACAATTAGAGACCATTCACATCACTTGCTGAAAATTGCTTTTCTTTCTGTCCCTGTTTTTTTGTCAATTTGTTTCCCAAAATATGTTATCACACGAAACCCACGATATTCATGTATTCGCATACACATTCGCTGCCACGTGTCGGTTGTTACCAACTGTCATTACAGTTTTCTATAAACACCAAAATGTGTTGCGGTGCATGCACCGACTCCTAACTTTTACGATGCATATTGCAATGTGCGAATCATCATCAAAAGCAACTTGCAAGAATTAAAGATTCTTTGTAGAAAACGTTGTAAGTGTCAAATTTTCACTATATTTTAATACATACATTCTATTTGAAAATAAAAATAATGCATTAAAGTAACATATTTTTGCTTTTCTATTTACGAGTAATCTATGACCAACCAATAAACAAATTAATTTGCAAATTAAAATAAATAGTATCTTCTCTCTTCTACTACCTTCTTTCTGAAAAATCTGATGTTTGGCACTTACGGCGTTTTCTACAAGAAATCTTTAATGTTTCTGTGGATTAACCATCTTTTTGTCCATCTCGTTTTAATTTCTCATTTCTTGTAATCAGCATATCTCCTATTATCGATAATAATGATGCTGGAAAATAAACATAGACATTTGAAGACATGTGTTTCAACGTTTGATATCGCACAGACAGAAAAATCGGTAACACGGTGACAAACTGAAACCTAGAAGTCGATGCATGCATCGCAACATCTGTAAGAAGTTTAACCTACGTGATAGATCTTGTCCTTGGTCAATGCTTCAAAGACTTTCCTACATTTACGAGTTAATATTTTTTCATGGAGGATGTCGAGCTGCATCGATTGATATGTCAAAAAAAATATGCCATTCCATTTTTTAAAAAAAGACAAATTTGACTTTTATGCGACCTTTATACGTCCACCCACAGAAAGCTAATAATATCAGAACATGCCTTTCTTGAAACCGTTTCAAACTTTCACCTGAAATATTTTTCACCACGAACGATAACAGTGACCCTGTAACAAACGAAATTAAAACACATGACTACTTCACAATCAGCATTGAAAGCTACGAAAATTATTGTCAAATCTAATAAAAAGTAATAAAGTAATAAAAGTAATTAAATCTATGAAAATTCATCAAAAATCATCGATCATCAAGTATCGTTCCAGAAGTGTTAAACAAGATAACTGTAGAGCTGATTCAACGTGATTACGAGAAATACAAAAGGCTAGCGATCGACAAGAATACGTCTGTTCTTCGTCCTTGCCAGACGATGGGAATGAATTGGCGATTTCACTGGGAATTTCAAAGGAAGTTAATATTGTAACAGACGCTACAGTTTTGTGTGAAACGTAGCTTTGACGAGGGGGTTGAAAGCCGGCTTGTTCGCACATCTCGCCAAAGAAATCCGATAACTAAAATTGTCTGAAGAAATTGTTTCACACGAACCGCTTCTGTAACGCTATCGGCTATTTAAATCGAAATTATCTAGACCAGACGGTTGCGGTACTCGTTCCCTGTTCGATCAACCCAGGTCTAATTAAAATGATAATCTCATGAACAGAGCTAGAACTAGTCTGCTAAAGAGAGCTAAAAGAATGTGGTATGTCTCGTAATTGAATTGTAGAAATTTATGAAAATTCGTATTTTGTAATTGTTGTGTTATTTCTTTTTTTAAATTAATTTTTAAATAACAACTTATTTTATAAGTGACAGAAATTAAACAACGTTTCATTTGTTCTAATTACAAAAATCAGCTTGACTGATGGAATTAAGAAACGATTAATTTATTTTTTTATAGTTGTTATTTTCTATAATTTACCAAATACGAATATGTCCATATTAAATGGATACAATTTATAGAGATCATAAAAGTAATGAAATAGTTAATTATTCATTTGGTAGATCAAAAAATAGTTGGCAGCATATTCTGATTCATGTAATGGACTTTTATTCTAATATTCTTTTTATATGCTAAGCAATATCTAAGTCAATAATTGAAACTAATCTTTTATCTTTTATAAAAACATTGCCAAATTCTTTTATATCAACCATGTTGATTATAATACGAAATTTGTGTTTTGCATATGGCACGAAATACTTAATACAAACATTTATCTTATGTTTTAATATCAGTCCACGTGTCTATAGCAAATTGTAATTTAATAAATATTTTGAAAAATTACATTTTTATGATGTCGCATGACCCGAACGTA